ACACTGAAAAAAAAAGCTGATGGGAAGATTATGGGAGATGTGTATCTTTGTCTTCTATCTCTGGTTGTTAAAAACAATGAACTAAATTCTAAAAGTCAAGAATTAGAAGGGTAAGTCTGGGAATATAACCATAACCAACAGGAAAATACGTCGCCTCGGGCCAGCAAATAAATGGGCTGAATGTTTTAGTGTCTGGGTTCCTCTTTGGGTAGGATCACTATATTAGTAACCATAATTTAAATCAAATAAATTAAGTGATAAAAAATTGTATTACCTTTTTCTTGTATTAGCTTAGGAACAGAATAGGAACCAAGTTTATCAAAATCTTACTATATTCGTGGAAAATTGTTCTCTATTCACAATATAGGCATCTACATTTGAAATTTAACTTATTTATTTTACTAATAATCTGAATGCCATGAAGTGAGTCTGAACATTCAAAGTGAAAAACACTCTAATGAGTCTGTAATTCAACAGAAAATTTTTATCTAAAAATAAACAGGAACATTAAAGTTGTAAAAAAGAAATGAAAAACTTGCTTCGGCAGGCCAGAGGTGGCAGGCTGTTCTTGTGGTTTTATGGCAGGGTATGACCACCATCTAGTGGCAGAAGGTATATTTATTTAACTTGTAAAAATCAAAAACTTTGCTGTGGAATCATTTATTACAAAGTTCCCAGACATAAATGTGCTAAAAACATTCAAAAACTTCAGAGGAAAACTAGTACCTATGGAATCCTACACAAATAGTATTTATCACATAAAAATGTAGTTTCACATGGAGCTTTCTATTCTATAAAATGTTGCAAAATGTTTTCATAATGCTTATATTCTGTGATGAGATCCAGCTGCGTGCATTGTATTTCTCCCTTGCCCTTTAAAAAGAAATTCTGGAATAGAAAGTTAAACTGTGGGTTTTTTTAAATTTTAAAAGAATCCTTTTTATTTTCTTTACCTCTCATAGTTTAGAATATGTTGGGTATTATGTTCATACAGGTCTAAAAAAGCTACTCTTACAAAGTCAAAGATAGTTTATCTTCATAGGGCCGTAATATTGTATCATACTAAAGTAGTAGAAATGTTTAAGGATTATATGATATTTTTTATACAGAGATTTAATAACTTGGTGGCAAAACAACTGATTATATGTCTGTAAGAGAGGAATCTTTTCTTCAGTAAAACCCTAAGTAACTTTTTAAAATATATTTTATTAATTATGCCATTACAGTTGTTCTATTTCCCCCCTTCATTCCCCTCCACCCTGCCCACCCCTCCCCCACCATTTTCCCTTTTAGTTTATGACCACGTGTCTCAAGTTCTTTAGATTCTATATTTCCCCTACTATTCTTGCCCTCCCCCTATCTATTTTCTACCTACCATCTATGCTAATTATTTTCTGTACCTTCTCCCACTCCCCTGATGCTAACCCTCCATGTGATCTCCATTTCTATGGTTCACTCCTGATCTAGCTGTCCTTTTACTTTGCTTTTGTTTTAGGTGTGGTTGTTGATAATTGTGAGTTTGCTGTCCTTTCACTGTTCATCTTTTTTATCTTCTTTTTCTTAGGTAAGTCCCTTTAACACTTCATATAATACGGGCTTGGCGATGATGAACTTTTTGAATTTGATCTTATCTGAGAAGCACTTTATCTGCCCTTCCATTCTAAATGAAAGTTTTGCTGGGTAGAGCAATCTTGGTTGTAGGTCTTTGGTTTTCATGACTTGGAATACCTCTTTCCAGCCCCTTCTTGCCTGTAAGGTCTCTTTTGAGAAATCTGCTGACAGTCTGATGGGAACTCCTTTGTAGGTGACTGTCCCCTTAGCTCTTGCTGCTTCTAGGATTCTCTCCTTCATTTTAATTTTGGCTAATGTAATGATGATGTGCCTTGGTGCGTTCCTTCTTGGGTCCAAATTCTTTGGGACTCTCTGAGCTTCCTGGATTTCCTGGAAGTCTATCTCCTTTGCCAGATTGGGGAAGTTCTCCTTTATTATTTGTTCAAATAAGTTTTCCACTTGTGGCTGTTCCTCTTCCCCTTCTGGTACCCCTATAATTCGGATGTTGGAACATTTAAAGATGTCCCTGAAGGTTCCTAAGCTTCTCCTCATTTTTTTGAGTTCTTGTTTCTTCATCCTTTTCTGTTTGGCCATTTTTTTTTCCTCTTTCTGGTCCACTGCTTTGATTTGAGTCCCAGTTTCCTTTCCATTACTATTGGTTTTCTGTGTATTTCCACTCACTTGAATTAGTTTAGCCTTCATAGGTTCCTCTAATTTGTGTCTAAATCAACCAGTTCTGTGAGCATCCTGATCACCAGTGTTTTGAACTGTGCATCTGAAAGTTTGGCTATTTCTTCATTGCTTAGATTTATGGGCTCTGGGGCTCTGAGTTGTTCTTGAGCCATTTTTGGTCTGTTCACACCTGTTAAGTATGAGGAGTGGAGCCTTAGTTGTTTACCAGGGCGGGGCCACCCAGGTCACTGGTTTGTGATGCCGTATGTGGGGGCGGGGTCAGAGAGGGACAATGGCGGTTTCCTCTGCTGCTTCCTGCTGCTGGGGCCTGGGCGGTCCGTCTCACTGCTCACTCCTTCACCGGTTTATCAGCGCACGAATGTGTGACAGTGATCAGCCCTCAGTGGGTCCACCCGCTACTCCACACCTGGGATCCGCCCACAGCTGCTGGCGCACCTGGGTCTCGCGCCCGGGTCAGTCGGGTGGATCTTTCCTGCTGAACCCCGCTCTGCTGCTGGCTCTGCCCCTCTTATCAATTTGGCTGAAGGGTTCCTAGTTGTCAGACTTCTGTGTAGTTCAATTTTCTGTGGTTTGGCTGCGTTTTTGTTGCTAAAACTTTGTTGTTTTTAAACTTGGTCGTGCAAGTAGGGGCAGTGCTTCCACCTATGCCTCCATCTTGGCGGAAGTCCTAAATTGTGGTTTTAAAACCAAGTCAGGGAAGGAGTTTAGGGATGAAAAAATACCAATAAATATGTGTGCTGATAACTATGTGTCTTTATATGTGCCATTTTTTAAAGTAATGTGTTGGGAGTTTACTAATGTAATCATTCTAACACCAGGGGTAGTTATATGTAAATTAAGTGATAGGGAATATTAAAAATATGAGCAATAATCGCAGTGGGCATGAGCTTCTTTGTTACTTTTCTGTGTTCTCTTTATAAGTCATTCAGTTAATTAATTTTTGCAAAATAATCATACTGTACATGCAGATTCCATTAATTCCGTGTTCATTGTAAAATATAATGCATGTGTAAATAAAATACGATTGTACTATGGTAGAATTAAGTATAATCATCCTGTCAAGAAGTAGAATGTTTGGCAAAACCTGTGGGTTTCTTTTAGATTAATACCCCTACCTTCCTCCTAGAAGAAAATGTTATCTTACTATTTATGGTCATTACATTTTTGCTCTTCTGTAATAGTTTCAGAGCCTATGTACTCATTCCTGATATATATGTCTGTTCTTGAATTTTATATAGATTAAATAACCCTGTAGCAGTTGCTGTACCTCTCCATCTCTTTACTTCATGTGATTATTTTTTTCTTTTCACATCGTTTTGTAGAACTGGTATATCATTCCACTGCACGTATATTCTGCACATTTTTACATGTTCAACTGTTAATGAGCATGGAAACTGTCTCCATTTTTGACTGTTAAGAAAATCACGTGGCTATGGGTTCCCGTGCTAGAAATCGGGTTCCCTTGCCCAGGAGGATGTAATCCTGGGAATGGAATCTCTGGGGGGTAAACAGCTGTGCTGGGAGTCGCTGGGTGCTTTTCTGTGTCGGCGACTCTGGCTTTCCTCCCTGCCATCAGTCTCTGGGGCTCCACGTTCTTTCCCAGTGGTCAGATTTTTTGAGACTTCTTAAATATTTACCAATCATGTTATTTTACTCAAGGTTTATTATGGTTTTAATTTTCAGCGGGAGCAATTTTTCATACGTTTATGAACCTCTTGGGTTTCTTCTCTTTGGTAAAATGCATGTTCAAGTCCTTTACTATCATTATCTTCTTTGTTTTTTCAACTACCCTGGTCGGGTTTTAATAACTAGTTTATTTCTCCTTGTATGCTTTATAAAAGTAGCAGATGAATACAACCAATTCTATAAATGGATGCTGGAGTTTTCTTTCTACTTTTTGGTTCTACAATTCTTGAGGTTTTAGAATCTCTCTGAGTCAGTTTTAAGTCATTTTTTTCTAGGAATGCATCTATTTCATCAGTATTCTGTTAAAAATTTTTTATTGTGAAATTTTTAGAGCGAGGGGAAGAGAAGGAGAAAGAGGGGGAGAGGTACATCACTGTGTGGTTGCCTCTCACACGCCCCTTACTGGGGACCTGGCCTGCAACCCAGGCATGTGCCCCGCCTGGGAATTGAACCTGTGACCCTTTGATTAGCAGGCAGGCACTCGATCCACTGAGCCACACCAGCCAGGGCTGTTAAAGTCTTTTTGACATTTACAAGATTTCTAAAGGAATCCCTTTCTGATTCAACATCATGGTTATTGGCGCTTTCTCTCTTTTTTATATCGTGATCAGTTTTGCCAGAATTTTATCACTCTTATCAGAATTGATGGCCCTGTTCCATCGTGTTCTGTCTTATTTGAAATGTTTCCATATATTTGTGTGTCCTGTCACCATGCTTTATATTTGTAAAGAAAACTCATCTATCTACATCTCTCTGACTACTTATTTAATAACTCACTTCCTTACTGGGGCAGACACAGTGTCTTTTTTCATTCACTGTTTTTTCTTCACAACTTAGATTAGTGGCCAGCAAATATTGTCCCACTGTGGTGCATCAGTGAAAACAAGGTAGTAAAGAACCATTCTATTCCAGAACTATTCTTACAAATTTATGCAGATTCAAGTCCTGTAAGCTTGTATATATTTGTAAAATCTGGCTGGATGTATAACCATATAGATATTTTTAAAACCAAAAAGAACCTAAGCATAAATAATTACTTTAAGCCCTTATTCTGCTTCCATCATCTGCAGATTGTGTAAGTCCTCCTCCAAAAAAAGACAGGGAAATTCTTCTGGGTTCCTGGTCTGAACAAAGCTACCAAGAGGGCATGAAGGCCACATACAAGTGCCGCCCTGGGTTCAGGACATACGGCGTGATTACAATGCAGTGCAAGGGAGGGCAATGGGTGGACCTCAACCCATCGAAAATATGCCAAAGTAAGTGACCTGTGTTTGTTTCCCCCCTTTTTAAAATTAATTATTTATTTTATTATATTGTTGCTCAATTACAGTTGTCTGCACTTTCTCCCCACCCCTACCTCCCACCCCAACCAAATCCACCTCCCTCCCTTGCTTCCACCTCCCCCCTTGGTTTTACCCATGTGTCCTTTATAGTATAGTTCCTAAATACCCTTCTCCCCTCTCTCCCCTCTCCCCTTCCCTCTGGCTATTGTTAGATTGTTCTTAATTTTAATGTCTCTGGTTATATTTTGCTTGCTTTTTCCTTTTGTTGATTATGTTCCAGTTAAAGGTGAGATCGTATGGTATTTGACCCTCACTGCCTGACTTATTTTGCTTAGCATCATGCTCTCCAGTTCCATTCATGCTGTTGCAAAGGGTAGGAGCTCCTTCTTTCTCTCTGCTGTGTAGTATTCCATTGTGTGAATGTACCATAATTTTTTGACCCACTCATTTACTGATGGGCACTTAGGTTGCTTCCAGCCCTTGGCTATGATGAATTTTGCTGCTATGAACATTGGGGTGCATGCATATTTTTGGATTGGTGTCTCAGGAATCTTAGGATATAATCCCAGCCATGCTTTTTTTTTTTAATTTACAAAACCTTTTAGTTGCCAAAATACTGAATATTCCCTCCTGCAGCAATATGAGATGAGTTATATCAATGTTACCAATTCAATACAAAACACAGCACTGCCATTTATTCTTAACAAGGGAGTGGTAATCTTCCAAAACTCAAAAACAAAACCTACAGACAGGTTCAATTCTCAAATAATGACTTTGCCATTTGTGACTTTTCCGTGGCTTTGGTTCTCTCCTCTAACATAATATCAAACATCCTTGTCCCTGACCTCTCCACGTACAATGCATTTCCTGCACTACATGCTGCTATTGTATCCTTTTCTTCATTTCAGAAAAGCCCTGTGGGTACCCTGGAGACACACCCTTTGGCTCATTCGACCTTGCAATAGGAGACAGCTTTGAATACGGTGCCAAGGTGGTTTATACGTGCAATGAGGGGTGAGTAGTCAATATAAAACAATGTCTGTGACTGAGGTAACCACACCTGATATGATCAATCAGAACTGTCCTAATGTATATTTTTAAGCTTACTGTATTTTTCTATGAGCCTTTGTACGGGCAGCATGCACGTAACTCCCCAAATTAAAATTAAATAGTGGAAATGATTATATCTGGATACCATGTTATCTCCTCAACATTGAAAAGTTACGATGAATTGTAATAACTGTGTTAGAGGGGTGGCTGGGAAAATAGTACAAGTATAAACAGGGGTTCATGCCAATGAGTCCTCAGCCCATTCTGTGATGTGCGGGATATTACGGGGATGCAGCGGGTCGGGCACAGAGGAAATGGTGAAGAGTTATGTGACCTGCTACCTGTTTTGGTAAAATCTTATAAACTGTAAGAAAAGCAAGACTTTTTACACTGAAATAATAATAACTATTCTGTAAGGTCCCACAGTCTATAAATTATTCTTATCATGTTGGCCCCCAAATGCTGCTGTGTTTATCCTCATTGACTCAGGTCCGACTCCGGTTTTCAGGAGAATCTGTGCACAGGGGCTTACCTCCTCACCGCCCACTGTCCCCTGTTATCCCCAGCCAAGCCACAAACTGGTTTCGAGGAACGTTTCACACATGGAGAAATCAGGCTCATCGCATCAATATAAATAGCACCAAGAGATTACAAACGACGTCTTGTTATCCTCTCCCCATTGACTTCCTGGTGCATCGGCTTTGGAGTGAACCCGCATTCCAGAACTGCGCCACTCAACAAATGGTTGCATTTTCCAAAATCCCACTTCACTCCCATCTCCTCACTTATAAAAGCAGAAATGTACCGGGCGCAACACAGGGTCGGTGGGGGAAGTGAACGAGACCCACACTGGAAGCCCTGAGGTTGCCAGGGACTCCGTGGACACCCTCGAAGTGTTAAATCTCGTGATTTAGTCTTCAGTCATTACTGCAGACTGTACCACACGTGCCCAGCAAGATGAAGACCCCGTGGGCTGCACTCCCCCACTCCCTCCTCTCTGTACCTCTAAAGTGCCCCCTTTAGTCCAGGCTCGTTTGGTCTTTCCAGGTTCCACCTCTGACCTGGTAACAAGAGTGAACACTCCCAGACTTTAGAGCCCCTGCCGCTCAGCACCCAGCAGTGTTTAGAATGTGGTAAAGAAATGAGTGGCCTGCTTACTTCTAAGTCTGGCTCTGCTCTGCTCACCTGCACCCCCTTCACCCTGTATGAATTGTGGGTGTCCTCAGTGACAGGCTCCTGGAAAGTAATGGTCTTCTCACTCAGCCAGGGACTCCAACAGGACCAGATATTTGTCAGCAAAAAGAAGTTCTTGGGTCACCCAAGGTCAACAAAAGGAAGTATTGTACGCCGTTTTTAAATTTTACTTGAGTTTGACCTATCTGAGGGCGTGTAAGCCTTTTGACCCAGTTGTGGGATCTAATGGCAGAGGGCGTATACTATATCCATAGTTCCTGCCAGTAAACTTGACCTCAGGCCCCTTGTCCCCACTGACCCACTCTTCACTGAATCCCTATTTAGCTGAATACCAGGCACTTAGGGGGAGATTCAGGGTGGGAACCCTGTTTCACTGTCTTACAGGTCGGAAGAGTTAAGGAGGCACCCTGCAAAGGTTCTGGTGTTTCTCGTAGCTGGGGTGGCAGAAACACAACCCTCACTGCCCCCACCCTACCAGTACACGTGTGTACAGGCTTTCTCTCTTCCCCTCCCCACCATGCATACAGATTCTGCAAGGTTTTGTGTAGAATTGTGTGGAGTTGCTGAAGGAGCTTTGGGGGAAATGGATGGGTCTCCGTTGTAGGTGGGAACTGTTAACCAGGAAACCTGCTTCCTCTGGGCAGAGAAGAGAGGAGAACCTGGAATAACCAAGGCCTTTGCCTCCTTCTAAGCCTGAGGCTCAGATGCTTGACTTCTGAGGTTTGCATTTAATTTCATTGAAATATTTCCTTCCCTGAGAGAACTAGGAACAAACCAACAAGAATCAAAGAAAGACAAGGTATATTTGGAGGAAGAGAGCTTATTTGTGTTACTTGTGCAATGAGCGGGACTGTATATCCTTATTTGCAGATGGAGGAAACATATTTGTCTATGTCGAATTTCTGAGAAACTTATCAAAGGCCCTTCCCAACACTCTCTCTCTCTTGTGGTTATCAAAATGCCTTCCCATTATTTATTCTGGGGACACCAGCTTTGGGCTCACAGCCCTCCACTGTAACTCAGAGAAGGACGCTTTCCCTGGATCTGAGACCTCTCGCCACGACTGCCCATTCTGCAGCCATCTCAAGGAACTTCCTTGCACATAGAGAACTTCAGATTTTAAGGGCTGGCTTGATGAGTTGCACTAATTAGATAAAGTCGACACTGCATGGGTTCTGTAAGCAGACTGGGCTCCACAGCCACGCTCCAGAAAGAATGTCAAGGATGGGGATGGGGACAAGCGCCGACAATACATCTCACACTAAGGAATTTTTGTGGGCACTGTCCTTGACTGTGTAAAAGGCCCAAAGTGAGCAGAAAACGTCACCGTCTTGGAGGACAGGAGAAAGCTAGAGGAGGGGGACCATAGGGTTGTCTGCTGGTTACTGGCTCTTTATGGTTGTCTTTCTTTTGGGTGACAACTCATGGAGCCTATTACATTGCTAGGTGGAAGGAGTTAACTGACTCAAAGAAAAAACAACAGCAAACTGTGCGTGAAACAGTGAATCTGTGCCATCGACCAAGGACCAAGATTATTCCCAGGTCATCTCCCTGAGCATTTATGGGTCTTTCTTAAGAAGGAAAAAAAATTAAGAAAGATAAAAAAGACATAAGAGTTCAAAACAGAAAGAGATGGCAAAAGAAGAAAACGCATATGCTCTTAACTTCCCCTGAAATGGAAGTTGACCGTGCAGAATGTTATCAAATTTAAAACTGCACAGAAACACACATCCGCTGATGTCCCTGTTACTTTTGGGTTTCAGGTACCGAATGATAGGTGAATTTAATTTCCGGGAATGTGACGCTGATGGATGGACCAACGACATCCCTGTATGTGAAGGTAGATACAAATTCTGAAAATACCTCAGATGGTTTGCAATGTCTTACATTAAAATATCCTTAAAGTCTATAATCAAATATTTCTCTTTTTTTTTTGACCCAGGAGGTCCATACCATTTATTGTAAAGCACAAAACAGGCATTTTAAAAGTGAAAGTATACATTGAAAAAGTATCTTCATATCACAAAGCATTGACCGCATGATAGTTGCAAATACATTTGCTGGAATGTGTACATCTGTGCTAAATACCGAAAAATAGTATTTCTTACTCAAATTATTTTTATGGTTTTGAACATAATATAGAGTATATAGCCAACCTTTTTACTACTGCATGATTTTGTGTTTCAATAACCAAATATGAACACAGTCTCATCTGATCTAATATTTAAAGTATTAGAGCCTAGGACACCTAAAACTTATTTTTCCTTCCTTTTGGATTCTAACCTCTAGAAAGAACACAAATATCACTCTTTAACCTGAAGAGCAGAATCGCAGTATGAGTAATGATGCGCTCACCCCCAAACCGCCCCCCTCCCCCCACCCCAGCAGGATCTCTGGGCACAGCCAGGGTGGGGAACCCAGCTGAGAACTCTCTCCCTTCCTGCCTGCCAGAGAGAATTTCCTGGGGGCTTAGTCTCTCTGGAAAGACAGGGGAAGTAAGAGAGAGCTCCACCCCTTCTTCCTGAGCCAGAAAGCAGGCAGTAAGAATGGGGAAATGCCCATCCTGTCTCCAGAATTTGAGCTAGTAATCCCAATACTTGCTCATCGTGGAGATAAACAAGATCAGTCAGAATAGGGTTTCCCAATTCCATGGGGAGGAGAGAAGAGAGAGGGTGAGAGAAAGGTGCAGAAAGAAAGGTAAGGAAGGAGTACAAGAGGAAAGGAAGGAAGAAGCAGAGAAATGTGGTCATGAAAAATAGAGGAGACCCCTGCTTTAGAGAGCAGCTGCGTGGGAAACCACCTGGGGCGCAAGTTAAAAACTGAAATTTGGGTTACTGAAGACCTCCTGAAGGGACATCTGTGGGGTGATGGGCAGGGACATAGCCATCACCTGTCCATTTTAACAAGCGTCCTGAGTCACCTCACTGTTCAGTGAAGCTTGAGCATCATAACCTAAGAGCTATTGGGGAATATTACGTAAAATCTAAAGAAGCACTCAAATTATTTTGAACGCTGATGTGGAAGAGAAAGGAAATTTCAAACCTATTTCCCTATTGAAGTAAATACAGTCAAAAAAGTTTGCCGTTACACCTCTAGGAATACAGTGTTAATGAGTGTGAGACTGAAGTGGAAATTTTATATTTCATTCTTCCAAGCTGTCTATTTCTCAGTTATTTAAGAAGCACTCGTTTGTTCCTATAAAAATATAAACTGGTAGTCAAAGTAGTACTCTCCTTCATCCACTTCCATACAAAAGTTTCAAAGATAAATTTACTATTTATTTTTCCCTTAGCAGGCTTGATCTCCAGCAAATAGGCATGTTGAATGCTTTAAAAACAAACAAACAAACAAAAAACACACAACCCACATTTATTTCCTCCAATCTTATCTTGATGACCTTATAATTATATATGTATCTATGCATATTTTTCATGATAAAGTTCCCAACTTCTATTATAAAACATCCTATTTATTTTTCAGTTGTTAAGTGCTTACCAATGACAGACCCAGAGAATGGGAGAGTTATCAGCAGCGCATTCAGACCAGACCAGGAATATTCTTTCGGACAGGTGATAAAGTTTGAATGTAACCCAGGCTTCAAGCTTGCTGGCCCTAAAGAATTACATTGCTCGGAAAATGGTGTTTGGAGTGGAGAAAAACCAGGTTGCGTGGGTAAGCTACGCCTGCTGTTCATTTGATTATGTGAGTGATTTGGGGTTTTCTCGTGAAAGTATACATTTCAAAACACTGTGCCTCCCAATGAATCTAAATGATGCTGCTGATAAGTAGCATTTATTGGACACTTCCTACTTCCCAGGCATTTCTCTAAGTTCTTTATATGTGTCATTTCATTTCACATTCAAAGTGACTTCCATACCCTGTGTGCCAAATGCTCCTCTGTTTTATCATCGAGGGAACTGCAGTGTAAGGAGGTTAAATCACACGTACACGGCTACCCTGCACATATAGTCGAGCGAATATCCAAACCCAAGTGACCTGACACTGAGGTCTACGCTCCTAACCCTGATTGAATTGTACTCGGCTCTTAGGGTTTACAAGAGCGGCAAGCTTTCCTGCTGCACGTTCTGATGCTGGCCTACAGAACTGGCTTCCCTTACATTGGACAGCCAAAGATTTATTATTTATTTCCAGTGATGCATCATGATGACCTTGTTTTGAAATAATCTTTCTAAGAAGTGGCTATTTTATATTTGGGCTGTGCCTGTTATAAGTATTGTTGAACTGAATTGAATCCATTAAATATGCCTTTGCCTTTAAAATAGAGTTCTAGAGTAAACCATCAGACAAGAATTCTTTAAGGTACAGCACAGCGAATATAGGCCAATGAAATGTCATACGCGTATGGTGCCAGGTGAGTGCTGGACTTATCAGGGTGAGCACTTCGTATTAGAGAAACGTCAAATCGCTGTGTTGTATACATAAAACTAATCTCATATTGTATGTTGATTGCAATTGAAAAGTTTTGTTATATAAACTACTGACCCACACATCATGCCCCATAGGATGATTTTGACCTTCATAAAGAAGCATTTTGGTCAAGTTATTTGAAGCCTCATACTTTGGTTTTACCAGCATTTCTTTGGCAGAAATGTCTGCCATGTTTATATGCTAACATTACCTAAACTCTCCAAATGGTTTACACTTTCTTAGTCTAGTCTATCCTACAATAAGATGCAGAGAAAAGCATGCCTCTTCTTAAAAACTTTTTTCTAACAAAACTAATTCTTCGAGTCAGAAATGGTAAATATTTCTATTTGGTGTAGCAAATACTGTGGACCCTAGAGGCTTATGGAGAGGGTGTACTTCTCTCACAAGTAAATTTCCGTGGTCAGCGAGCCCTCCCTGGAATGACTAATGCCTGGAGTGTCTCAAAGGGAGAATGGGAACTTGTTGTTGAAGTTAAGGAGGGAAACCCATACTAGTCAACAGAAGCTCATGCAGAAGTAGCCAAATGTATCCAGCAGCATGAAGCTCCTGGTCCCCTTTGTCTTCAGGCCCAGATAAAAGACGCAAGTAGGGATTGGCACTGTGGGACCAAAGATGGCCTGGTATGAGATTCTGAGCTGCTGAAGAATTCTATACTGTACTGAAGAATTGGGCTTTCATTCAGGCTGAACTGGGAATCACTGAAGGACTTTAAGTGAATCAATGAAGTGACAAGAAAAAAAGGGTCATTATGTTACAAACAGGACAAGCAGTTGGGAAAGTGGGAGAATAGAAACTAGAAAATTAGTTCTTGTGGCCATCGTACTAGGAAAAAAGTGTTTGCGAGGAAAAGGACAGCAAAACCACCCAAGTAGAGGCCAGTAACTTTTTGGAGCTATAATGACAATGAGATCAATTAATTTATTTGTCAAAATCAATAGTTAATAGCTCTGTCAATAATCACTCTATTATTGGTAACAGGGAAATATGTAGTTTTGCAGGTTACTCCATGACAATGCTTATCACAATAGCCTCATGGCTATATTCAATTTTATATACATCAATTTCATATGATAAATGTGATTGCCACTATTTATTTCAACAAAACTAACTTATCCTTAGACCAAATAAAATTAGCAACATAATTGTAATCAGAATTTTAACTTCTTTCAGAAATGAACAGTAAGAGTAACAGGTAAGTTCAGCAAGCATTTAAGTCAAAGCAGAACTTACATTTGATCGCCTGCTTTATTCAATGGGAACAGAATTTATGTCTTCGTACAACTATGTCTTGGACACAGCCCTTTAATGTATCACAAACATTTGGGAATGTTGTCCCTTCTATTTAGAAATTTCCTGCCAAAGACCAGAAATTCTGCATGGAGAGCCCACATCCCTGAAGAACTTGTACAAGGAGAAAGAAAGACTTCAGTACAAATGCTTCTCAGGCTATAGCTACAGTGAAAGAGCAGAGGCCGTCTGCACCCTGTCGGGGTGGATGCCATACCCCTCCTGCAAAGGTAACGTCATACTTCTCGTCAGCGTCCTCTGCCATGGGCTCTACCCATTGTTTTAATGACCTTCACTCTCTGTGCCTAACGCTATACCCCGCATACTCCTGATTTCCCTGCTACAATGGACAAATACCTGCTGACAATGAAGAACCCCAAAAGTACGTATATTTCTCTTAAATCTTTAAGACATTTGAAACTAAATAATAAAGGAAGTTTTGAAGTAAAATAATATAGACTAAAACACTTAAATTTTCTTTCATCTGGTCTATGATTTGTATGTGTCAGGGAGTTTATTGGAAGGAAATTTATCAAAACTTCAGTCTCCGTTCCCAGTAAGGGGCAGTCTCTGACAGCACATCATTGAGAAGAATAATTAAAAGCACCAAGACCTGCTCAATAAAAAGCACTCTCGATCCAACCTCTGCCAGTCCCTGTGCAAACTGGATTTTCTACTGACTGACAGCAGAGACTGCCAATACTGAATTATTAAATTATTTCAAATCTTAATGACTATTCCTAACAGCAGGAAAGTGTGGCCTCACACATTTTAACAGTCTCAAATATTAGTATTTTGGAAAGAGGCAATGTTTTGATAGCACTGTTTATTTTAATGTAGATTATAAGAGTAGAGAATTAAATTTTTTCAAAGGATGTATGCCCACTGCTTGAAAGCAATCACCAAAAGGTCTTCTATTCTTAATCAACTCAACAAAATTCTCCCAATATTACTTTGTTTTGGTCTTAGCGACACTTGTGATTAATTTTTTCATATTGTAGCTTTTTGGGGGATTAGTTTTAATTTTTTTTAATTTTATTTAGTTATTTTTCAAGTATAGTTTTTTTTGTCTATTTCTCCCATCCCAGCCCCCCTGCCCCGTCATATTGTAGCTTTTTACTGCAAACCTTGGTGTTAAGTTTAGCTGTATCAGAAAGTGAAAACTAAGATGTGTCAATTGGGCTGCAGTGGGAATGTGAAAATGTGAAGGACATAGCAGATTAAAGTGAGAGAAAAAATTAACATATTTAAGTTTCCTTTGAGGATAGTGTCAACATCCAACACTGAAGACATATTTTACTTAACACTTGTGTTTAGGTGCTCGTATATGTTTTCTATTATTTTTAATATGGTCACTGCTAATATACGTAAGTACCTCAACTAATTGTGTCATGTTGGCAACAGGGACATAAAGCTTACTCTGGTGGAGTGGAGTATAAATTTAGGTCCAACTGAGAGATTACTACAATAGCTGTAGGAGCTGAAGGTACACAGCAGAAGTATGGTATGGAGAGGGGAGATATATAAGCAATATTTACACCTCTAGTGTTTAACTACTGGAGTTGATGGGAGGAAGAAAATGGGGGTACACTTCAGGCTTCTGTCATGGGGTCCTGTGTCAGAAATTAAAATACGGAAAGAAGACTGGTGATTTTAGTTGGACCTGTAATAAGTTGGATACGCCTTTGGTTATATGCATGAATCCTTCTAATGTAAAGCAGCAGTTGGATTAGAGTCAGATTAGAGTTGGATTAGAGTCTCATGGAAGAAGTTGTGAGCATAAATGGTAGTAGCTTTTGATCATGGAAGTGTCTTGAATCACACAGTGAATATGAAGAGAAAGCCAACAAAGTTGAGGGTAAATACTCAAGTAGAATCATAACTATTCATTCACACATGTCTATAGGGTCTTTACAGATGATGCTTCTGGGCTGTGATAAGGACCAGTGAGAGGACCCAGCAGAGAATCATTGAGGCAACAGGGCATGAAAGCAGACGTGGCAGAACTAAGCTTGGCTGAGTGAAAGCCTGGCAGTCCATTGTATTGACAGCTCAGAGGGCAGGGAGGAAGTGGAAGGAGAAGTGACCTGAGCAGGCAGGGTCCAGAATTCAGTAGAGCAGAGGAAGAGGAACAGCTACAAGTGGACTAACTTAAGGAGACTAAATTAAACAAAATGGAATTGTTTGTGCCAAGATAACGAGAGCTAGGACGACAGAAGAAAGCAAGGCACTGGAGAACTTCAAGAAGTCAGTGATGAGCTGTGTGAAGTTCTGCAAAGGGTTTTTATGTATTCAGTACAACAAATAATTAAGGAGCCCACATTCTAGACCAGCCTCTGCAATATGTGGAATACAAGAGTTGGTGGATCTTGGAAGTGGAGCCCTTTGGTGACTTCTGTCAGAGCAGGGCCCGCGCAGGGGAGACATCAGAAGCCACTGGGACGTGGGTTGCAAAACAAATGGAAGAATGAACAAAGTGGAGAGAGCAATTGTAAAAGGGCTTTTGAAGAGTCTTGGCTATGAAGCATAGGAGAAAGATCAGACATTAGCTCAACTTGGGTAAAAGGCAGAAAGAAGGAGTTTAAAACTCCTTGAGCATCCATTCAAGGGGAAGTGGTTGACAAAGTCAGAGTGATGGAAGAGATAAGCAATGGTTTGTAACCCATGGCAAAATAAAAGGGTTGAGAGGCTTGCTTGAATATAAAAATAGGAAAAGGCTTAAGTTCAGAAAAGATATAGCTAATGTTAAAGAAATTTTCAAAAGCTCTAGGCAACCTGCAGCTGGTAGTCTCAGTAGCTTTCTAGGAAGGCAACTCTCACTATCTAGCAATGAAAGAGCAATTGTATTAGGTGACTTGAGTAAAATGAGACTATTGATCCCTTATCATGGGAAATAGAATAAGAAGTGAACTAGGGTCATATACCTGAGTTCAGTCAATACTGAATGTCCACCACAGGTTTTGAGTCCAAAATGAAACATGGCAGCAATATAAATGGTAATATAACATTTCTACAACAGTTAAAAGGCATTGGTTGGTTGTCTCGATGTTGATCAGCATTTCTCAATGCATATTTATATCAAGTCATCATGTTCTACACTTTAAATGCATACAATTACACTTGCCAATTGTCCCTCCATAGAGCTGGAAAAATGAATTAATTAAATTGGGGGGAAAAGGCATAGCATTTTATCACAAAAGGCGTATTAGGAGATGATCTATTGTAATATAGCAAAAAGTTGATGAGAAGGACCCAGAGAAGGAGCTTCATCACTTAGGGTGGACTAGGTCAAGGGAGATAAATGCCAGGTCTGATCCCCTTCATCCCCATTTTATAAACCAAGTTTCCATACAATACAACCATGCACCACAGCTGCTCATGGTAGTTTGCAGCAGCTTCTGCAGTCCAAAGACAGAGCAGACTGGCCAGCAGAGACTTTTACCTGGCCCTTCATATAAAAGGTCTCCCAAACCCTGGACTAGGTTATCCTATTACAGTAAGAAAAGTATATTCCCAAATTTCATCAGCCCAACAAAGTAAACTTTATTTCCTCACCATGCTGACTTCATATGTAGGTCTGCAAGGGACTCTGCTCGTGCAATTAATTGTAAGAATCAGAAGATAGAGACACAGTCTTCCCTTGCCCTTCTATAATCACTGCTGCCAGGGGGAAGAAGAGATAAAAGTTCACACAGTGGCTTTCAAAACATCCTTCCTACAAGGAAACATATTACTGCCACATTCATTTCATGGCTGCATTCAAGTCGAGGAAGAGACTCAGGATATTTGTGAACAGTTCTTATCAGAACTTCAGAAGCCAAGGAGGTTGAGGGAAGAGGAAAGTGTGGGCAAAAGTCATATATTATGAGCTCAGGCCCATGCACAGAACAGCACCATGGACGCAATGGCTTTGGGGAAAGAGGATCCAAGAGCGCAGGTGGCGCAAACACCTCAGGTGAGCCAGGTGAGGAGGGAAATGAGTGATGTGGGGAAGGCTGTGAGTCTGTGCTCAATTTAATGCTATTTTGCTCTATGATAAGAACCAAAAAATGACATTCACTCTATTCTCCTGGACTTGACTTTTCCTGGGCAGTGGTTCTGCATTATCCACCTGTCCTTTTTCTTTTCAGAAGTGACATGTGATCCTCCAACTATTGCCAACAGCCACTACATTCCTGACAGGACCTCATACCGACGTGGGGATAGAATCACATACCAGTGTAAAGGTGGCTTTTATCATTCCACCCAAGGCAGTACATCAGAATGCACCGATATGGGCTGGAACCCCCCTCCAAGGTGCACCTGTAAGTTCCAAGCACATCATGACCTGACTCTAATTCTGCAGTTACTTCTGTTGAACACCAGTGTAATGGGAACTGAAAGGGCCCCCACACTTCCTTTACTGAGAGCGTAAAGCAGGGGATGCAGAGGCGTGCTGGGCTGTTCAAAGTAGCCACTTCAAATGAAGTTCAAAATGATGTATTTCTTTTTTTAAAAGATTTTATTCATTTATTTTTAGAGTCTCTGGTTAGGAAGGCCTCAATGAGTATTCTTTAAACCTTCTAATTCTTGGTACTTAGGGTTAAATACATGTGGGTATGAATATGTGTTTCTCTCACTAATATTCTAACATGCAAATTAAAACATTAGCTAAGCACGCTACCATTCACCATCTAGTATATTTGTTATTTACTGCTGTGTAACAAATGTACCCCAAATATTACTGACTGAGAAAAACCACCCTCTCATGACTCAGGGTCACAGGGTCAATCCTAGGGTTACTGCTCAGCCCCCAAGTTCCTGTCACTCTCTGGGTGGCACTGGGACACTGGTCCAGAGTGTGGGCTGAGGGCTGGGTGCAGCTGGGACCAGCTTCCAAGAGGGCACCTCCCTGCTGGTGCAGAAGCCTCAGGGCCTAACCACATGGGGTCTCCATAGGAACCTGAGTGGCACTTACTATTCCCAGAGTGAGTGATCTGAGACACAAGAAGGACACCTCTGTGCCATCTATGACCTGCTCACACACAGTCACCTGAGCCATTTGTACCTTTAGAAGAGGGTCCCTGAGTCCAGCCCACACTCAAAGGTGAGGGCAGTGGGCTTCTTCTCTGAGGGAGGAGAGTGGGAGACACAGTTGATTTTCTGACACCATCACATGTCACAAAGTGCCACTCAGTTCAGCAGGGTGTTTACTTCTGGGGAGGTTTCTTTGGCCCCTTTCCAGAAGCTTTCTGCCTTGACCATCATGTTCTTCTTGTTCACATATCAGTTCCCTGTAGAGGTGTCCATGTTGCAGCTGGACTCCATGGCTGAAAAACAAAATGATGCTAATTGGAGGTCAATGGCCTCATGTCAGTTCAGGACAAATGTCCACATGAAAGTGACAGTGTGATGCCCTAAGAGGGGCTGCTGGCCTCACCATGACACAGACCTCCATGAGTGTGACCACCACAAGGAGAGTGTCTGTGTACTCACTAGACAGAACTGACAGGCAGCACTGTGCTGTTTCAGGTGTGTAACAGGATGACCCCACGTGTGCACGTATCGTGATATGACCAGAGACAAGTGTTCTTTACATCATCTGAGTTTACAACCCTTCTTGTCCTAGAAACCCTAATGCAATGAGGATAATTATGTTAATAATAATATAATTCATTAGGGAAACCTTTTATCTCTCATTGGATTCTATTAAAGGAAAACATCATTTATGTTGGTTTTTTTGTTTGTTTTTATTGCAAGTTAAGCCATGTGAATACCCAGAAATAAAGCATGGGAGCCTATACTGGGCACGCAGAGAATACTTTCCAGTCGCTGTGGGACAATGGTATTACTATTCCTGTAGTGGCAACTATGTGACGCCCACAGAACGCTACTGGGATTCTATTATTTGCACAGCAGATGGATGGTCACCTGACGTTCCCTGCCTCAGTAAGTAAACCTCTTCCTCCTTGTGTACATGGGGACACTTTGGAGAAGAGGGGGCATTAAACAAGTGAGAACAATGAAGCTGTGTGCCCAAACTAAGGTGGAGGGCTGAGTTCTGTGAGCAGGAAGACCAATGTTGGTTGTTTGTTTTATGAGAGGTTCTTCATTAAAAACATGAGTATGCAAGAATACCTATATGATTAGTACATATTATAATTGTGAACTGCAGATAATTATATTTAATATTATATTTTACAAAAAATATTTGATAGCAGCTTTAGTATTTCTTATTCTATATGTTATTTTTGGATGCTTATGGATTCTAATTTGAATATGAGGAATCATTATAATTTCTCATTTGACCAATTGTTGGGGGTTTTTCATTATCACTTATCATCCTTAGGAAAATGTGTTTTCAATTACCTGGAGAATGGATATTATCCGAGGTATGAACAAAAGTATTTACAGGGTCAATCTGTTAGAGTTTCCTGCCATCCTGGTCACAGTCTTCCAAACCAGCGGACCACGATGACGTGTACAGAGAACGGCTGGTCCCCTCCTCCCAAATGCATCCGTGTCGGTAAGAAAACATGTCTGAGATCCAGGCTGTTTGTCATTTTCTAAGACTTCCCTCTAACTACTGTGAAAGATTTTTATATCAGCTTCTTGTTTTGTCAATGGACTTACTCGCTTTTATTTTTTCAAGTGTGTATAAGTGGAAATGCCAGTTGCTTGACATGTCAATAGCATGATAAAGACACCTATTGGTAGACATTAATTTAGAAAACCACCAAATACTGCAGAGAGGAAACATCTAATTTAATACATGGAAAGCAGGATGGCATGTCAGCTGTTCCTATTGTCTTTCCACAGCCAACATTGACTTTGGCCATCACTCTGGATAAGGGCAGCTTTGTGAGAGTCAGGAATCTGGCAGACAGGTTCCTCCTGCCCCTGGGGCAAAGAGACCCAAGACTGGGTGCATGGAAGTGTCTGGGAGCAACAGCTTCACCTCCCTGAGTTAACTCCTCCCCAGTCATGCACCTTGTGGTGGTTTGGGTCTGAGACCTCGAGTCTTAGTGGTTTTATATTTTGTTTTGCTGTTCAGGTGGATTTGATCCATTCAAGGCTCGTTTCTAAACTAACAAAGCTGGTTTGGCAGCCTGCCCACTGGGACCAGTCTATTCAGAATATGGATGAAGAAGGCGTCTTCTGGCCCCTCTAGTAAATGAGTTGTGTTTAAAGACATCTTTGCAATTTGTATGATCCAATGGGAATATCTCCCAGTGTTGAGGGTGCCCTGGGAATTTTTGAACTGATTATTTTCTGCTGGTTCTTCTTCGAATGGTTATTCCCCGCCCATTGTCATGGGACTCTGCCCTGCTCTAGAGTGTCATGTTTTCAGCCCTGCAGATGTGTAGAGCTCTCTCATTCTGTAGAGCTCCCTGCAGATGTGTACAGCTCTTTCCACTGGGTTCTCTAGATTCCAAGTTCAGTGATGTCAGCCTGTTTCAGAATGCTGGATTTTGTCCTTCTATTCAGTGTGACTGATGATTTAGGCTTGAGTGTATTCTCCCTTGTTGTAATCGGAAGAGTTTGCACCCCCACCCCAATAAAGCCACTTTGAGAACAGAGCTCAAAGCATTCCCCTTACCTCCCAGGAATCAGAGCCTGGTGCTGGCCTTGTGCACACACCTCACAAGGCTGTTTTCATAGGTTTGATTCAGTTTCTTCACTATGCAGGGAGGGAATTCTCTTCTGTGTTCTTACTGTGCATTTCTTAATTTTATTAAATTTCTCCATGAACCACTTTGAACTCTATTCATTTTCTACAGTGTGTTTTTCATTTATGTCTGGTGGCATTGTTATTTTTTCAAATATGTTTTTCTGTGTTCAGTGTTAATGGGAATGGAATATGTGGCAGCTTGTTATGTTGACACGTGCACAGGAGATGAAGTGACCACCAGGTCAAGGTTGTTAGCATACCCATCCCCTCCTGTAGGGACCATGGTTCTGTGAGAGCCATGAACACCTGGCTCTTCCTTCTCAGCAATAATTAAAACTCGTCCTGGGAATAGATGTATGCCAGGAACGCACTGGTCAGCTATAGCATTCCACATGCAGTAGACAGACAGATCCTAATAATTTATTCTTTATCTTCATTTTTATTGGTGACACTATTACAGATGTCCCCATCCCCCCCTTTGCCCAATGCCACCCCACCTCTCCTCCTTCCTCTGGCCATCAGTAATTTCTTATACGGCAATCTGAATCTTTTAAGTCTTCCTTAGTTCCAAGATCTGTTTTTAATATCTTTTTAAAAATTACTATTGTTCTGTTACAGTTGCCTGGCCTTCTTCCCTTTGCTCAATTGAACCCCACCCCCTCACTCCCATAGTTAACCCAACCGCACCCTCCAATTTTCTATGCCCATGAGTCCTCTATTCATGTTGCTTTGCTTGTCCCTCACCCTTCTTTCCCCTGTTGTATCCCTCCTACACCACTCCGGTCACTTTCAGTGTCTTCTTTATTTCCATGTCTCTGCTTCTATTTTGCTCTTTTGTTTTTGGTGTTGATTAGCTTCCACTTATAGGTGAGATCATATCATATTTGTCCCTCACTGCCTGGCTTATTTCACCTAGCATACTGCTCTCCAGTTCCATCCATGTTGTGTGCAAAGGGTGGGAGCTCCTTCTTTCTTTCTGCTGGGTAATACTCCATTGTGGAAAAGTACCACAGGTTTTTTTAAAAATATGTTTTATTGATTATGCCCTTACAGTTGTTCTATTTCCCCCTTCATTCCCCTCCACCATGCACACCCCCTCCTTCACCATTCCCCCCTTTAGTTTATGACCATGTGTCTCAAGTTCTTTAAATTCTATATTTCCCATACTATTATTGCCCTCCCCCTATCTATTTTATACCTACCATATATGCTAATTATTTTCTATACCTTTACCCACTCCCCTGTTGCTAACCCTCCATGAGATCTTCATTTCTATGTTTCTGCTCCTGATCTAGCTGTCCTCTTAGTTTGCTTTTGTTTTAGGTGTGGTTGTTAATAACTGTGAGTTTGCTGTCCTTTCACTGTTCATCTTTTTTATCTTCTTTTTCTTAGGTAAGTCCCTTTAACATTTCATATAATAAGGGCTTGGTGATGATGAACTTTTTGAATTTGATCTTATCTGAGAAGCACTTTATCTGCCCTTCCATTTGAAATGAAACCTTTGCTGGATAGAGCAATCTTGGATGTAGGTCTTTGGATTTCATGACTTGGAATACTTCTTTCCAGCCCCTTCTTGCCTGTAAGGTCTCTTTTGAGAAATCTGCTGACAGTCTGATGGGAACTCCTTTGTAGTTGACTGTCCCCTTATCTCTTGTTGCTTCTAGGATTCTCTCCTTTATTTTAATCTTGGTGATGTAATTATGATGTACTTTGGTGTGTTCCTCCTTGGGTCCAATTTCTTTGGAACTCTCTGAGCTTCCTGGATTTCCTGGAAGTCTATTGCCTTTTCCAGATTGGAGAAGTTCTCCTTTATTATTAGTTTAAATAAGTGTTCCACGTGTGGCTCTTCCTCTTCCCTTTTGGTACCCCTAATATTCGGATGTCGGAACATTTAAAGATGTCCTGGAGGTTCCTAAGCCTCTCCTCATTTTTTTTTTTTTGAATTCTTGTTTCTTCACTCTTATCTGTTTGGTCATTTTTTTCTTCTTTCTGGTCCACTCCCTTGATTTGAGTCCCAGTTTCCTTTCCATCATTATTGGTTTCCTGTGCATTTTTCTTCATTTCAATTACTTTAGCCTTCATTTGTTCCTCTAACTTGTGACTAAAATCAACCAGTTCTGTGAGCATCCTGATCACCAGTGTTTTGAACTGTGCATCTGAAAGTTTGGCTATCTCTTGGTCATCTAGAATTATTGGTTCTGGGGCTTTGAGCTGTTCTTGAGCCATAAGGTTTTGGCGCAAACCTACCACAGGTTTTTGATTCACTCATTTACTGATGGACACTTACACTGTTTCTAGCACTTGGCTATTGTAAATAAGGCTGCTGTGAACATTGTGTTACATAGGCTCTTTTGAATTGGTGATTCAGAATTCTTAGGGTATGGTCCCAGCAGATGGATTGTTTGATGGAAAGTCAGTGCCATCTTTAGTTTCTTGAGGAAACTCCACACTGTTTCCCACAGTGGCTGCACCAGTCTGCATTCCCACCAGCAGTGCACTAGAGTTCCCTTTTCTCAACAAACTCACCAGCACTTGTTGTTTGTTGATTTGATAATGATGGCAATATCTTGATATATATTTTTGGAAACTCATAGCTTATAGTCTCTCACACCACACCTTGGATGATTAGGATTTTCCAGGTTTTCATTGACAACACACGCTTTAGTTTTTGTTGTTTTTGTTGTGTATTGTTAGAATCCTAATGAGCATTCCTAGAGACCATATGCTTAACTTTCCCCCACATTCTCTTCCTTTTAGTGACATGTTCAAAATCGGATATAGAAATTGAGAATGGATTTTTTTCTGAATCTGAACTGACATACCCCTTACATAAAGAAACACGATACAAGTGCAAACAAGGTTACTTAACAGAAGATGGTCAGACCTCAGGAAGGATCACGTGTCAGCAGGACGGATGGTCCCCTCCCCCCAAGTGCATCAGTAAGTCATTCATGATGTTGAGTTATTGCCCCATTGCCAGTGGCAGAAATGTTCACTTTACCTGATTTATTTTCCCTGGGATGGTGGAAGCTGGGGTGGTTCCATTCGAAAAGATAAATAAAAGGTTTTTGAGAAAGTATATGCAAGTTTTTGCCTTTTAAAAATGATTACTAGAAGGTAGATATAAGATCATCTTTCAGTTCAAGGTTTTGCCTCCACAGAACTTCCTGTGATTTACAAACTGGTGAGGGACCTTCTGTGTATTCTGGTGTCAACTCGACACCTTGGCCTGGGCCTGTTTCCAGGTGGTCAGATTTTTATGTCTGGGTGTTCATTCCTAGAAATAAAAGTTATGTGTTTAAGTGAAAATATATGTTCACAGTGCATAGTTGTAGAATAATGTCCCCTGTGTAATTTATATGTGATACAGCAGAGCAAAAAATTCTTCTGAATAAAATTTATATTTTTAAGAAAACATCTACAACACTGAGTCATGGAGAGTAAGAAATGCTTGGAGAGTAAGAAATGCTTGTTGCTTCCTTGATGTTTACGAGAATATTCTAAGACCAGTTTTCTCATTTTATATTACTTATCCAAAGCCACATAACAACATTTTTCATTCACATGAAGTGAATATTTAAAATATCCATTTTTATTTTTTTCATTTTTTTCAGTTTCTATACTTACAATGGGAACTAGCGAAAAAAATGATAAAGGTTGCCTTTATATCAAACTAATACTATATTCAGTTGGGATTAATTATCCATTACAACACTCATTAGAAAAGAAAAAATGTCTCTTATTATTTTTATTATTATAGTTTTCTCTAGTTTTTTAAATCTTTAAACTAGCTGGCTGCATAATAGGTCTTAAAATTTGAGGAAAACTATTGAAGTCTGTATTAACATCAGTCCAGGAATGTATTAGTAAAAACGAAGACTATTTGTTTAACAATTTAATTTCTTATACTAGCTATAAATGTGGAACTATTTCTACATTCAATCTTAATAATTATAGAAGAATATCCATTAATTTGGTGGATATTTGTAAAAAGCTAAAGTAGCGTGTGAGTTTTTAAAATAGTAAGTTTTCAAGTAGACTTCTATAGAATGTTTAAAAATCACTCTCACTGTTGAAAATTTCTCTTTTTGTTGAACCACTGAACTTGTTTCTGCCATTAATGGCACAACTGCTACTGAGTTTGGCACCTACCTTGATTCACAAACATTATTCTACTTTGCCAAAATTCAAATCCAGCACATCTGTGAGGGCCTAGTTTACTGCTAGGGTGGAATGCATGTCTAAGTATAATGGCACTGAGAAAAACATTCTTAAATTTTTCAGAGGATTTAAGTGATGGTAAAACTGCTTTGTAGAAACACCCGCTTTCTTCTTGAGTAGCAATATGAGGACAATGAGTTATCACTGGTATTCAGAGATTGCTCTTTTGTGATACATTGCCTTGGGATGGGACTTAACTCCATTTGAGTGTGTGTTAAATGCTACTGGACATGAAATCTTCAATTCCATCATGCATTAGAATCTTGTGAAATGCCAGTGTTTGAGAATGCCAGAGCCAGAAGTGGCAGCACGTGGTTTAAGGTCAATGACACGTTGGACTATGAGTGCCAGGATGGATATAAAAATGAAGATGGACACACCACAGGCTTCATAGTGTGTGGTCACAGTGGTTGGTCTGGTACACCCACCTGTAACAGTAAGTCACATTTCAGGATTATCATAATAACATTCATTTAAAATGTTTTTTACCAATTTGGGTTATGTGGAGTTATTTTTAATGCACAGTGAATAAAACTGAGGTGTCTTCCTTCTGATTTAATGCAAATTGGGAGGAAGGGCTGTTTTGAAGTCTAAAGAGAACAGCCGATCTGACCCAGTGCATTGATGCGCCCTATGGCCCATGCACATCACAGATCTGTGATGAGAGCATAATAGTGCTCTCAGTCTTTCCTGGAATCAAAGGCAGAGCTGGGTTGTATGAACCCAGAAGCTTTGATAGCTTTGAGGGCCTCCTTTAAGGAAGAGCAATCAATCAGGAATATGTGATTCCAAGGCCATCAGACATGACAGAACAATGTGAATGAATGGATGTGGAAGTGACAGAGACAGCAGTAGAAAGCACTGGGGCCAATATGGCTCTCTATTGGAAATTTGCAGTAACTGATGACTTTGAGGATGCATTGGTCGGAATTCACCAGCATGATGTATTGCTTCCAGGGATGCAGCAAAGAAATGGCAGTTTAGCATTCTTTTCAGATAACTTTCCTGGGTTGTGTGCAGGGAGTGGCCCACTGAATAGCTGATACTGGAATTTACTTCAAATGTCCTGGAAAGTCTCCCTTTAGGGGAGGATTCCAAGGAATGTTATCACAAACCATTAAGCCAAACAGTGCTAACAGCAATCTTAACTAAATGTACAGTTCAGAATCCAAAATCTGTACCAATATATTCAAGTCTCAGTGCTAGGATTTAGAAATTTGATATTTACATGAATATTAATAAATTATATAATTCAGTATATGCCCATTTATTCTCCTCCTTAAATTGCATTCCTTAAGTCATTCTATAAATATAACAGCTGGAAATAGCCAACAGCCAAGATCTTTTCATTTGGTTGTTTGTTTGGTTTTTTTTTTGCTCAAGGTTTCATTTGTTTACAATATGATGGGAGAGAGAATTTATACAAAATGACCACAAAGTAGGTAAATGAGAACACATACTAATAAAAGAATCACTATGCAGAATATTAGAAAAACATTTTAGACCTATCCCAGTGGTTCCCATTCAAGCATGATCTTCTCAATAAGCTACAAAGCTCAACATTAAAGTGAAAGCCAAAACAATAGCAAATTACTGAGGTTTTTTGTGACACCACTTGTAAAAATCATTACGTTATGTCTACCTTTATGATTATGTGTTAATACTTGACTTTTAAATCATATAAATTTTCTTTTTGGTTTGATTGCAAATTTTAAATTCCACTTATTAATTTTTTATATTAATTAATGAGACAGAGGAATCAAGGAAAATATATTTTTATAACATTTGGCAATGCCATAAACTTCACAAATTTAAAAAAATTTAAGGCATAATTCACACATTTCTAACTTGACTCAGAATAATTAATAATTCATTAATAGCCAACATAAACTATACCTAAGTAAGAGCAGATAGTTTTCAATTATGTAAATATTCAGGGCACCTAGAATATGCCTACCTGTGTGACCTTGGGAATGTTATTATATCTTCTTTTATGTTTCATTTTGATTCCATTTTGGTTTAATTTATCAATTAAGCAATTTCTAATGTTCCTCTAAATGAAATATATCATAAATGCCATTCTGAGTGTCCTGGTTTCCCATGTGTATTAAACAAATTTCCAGTATTTCCTTACACAAGCAATTTAAAACTGTAGCATCAGTGGGGTTTTTTGTGAGAGAATAGTTTTGTTTTGATAATACAAAAACTGGTAGCATTAAATTTTATAAATGTCAATGATAAAATCAGATCCATATGAGCAAGCTGACCATACAAATTTTCAGGACGCATGTATTGTTCAGAGAGTCCCATATGAAATTTGAAGAAGGTGTAAACTGAATGGATAAGTGATTTTCTGGGAGAATATTTGTTTGTTGCCTCTCTGTATATGCAACACCCAGCAACTTATTTTTGCATGATGTATAGCATATACTTTGGCAGTGAAAAATTTTATGTGCTCATTAAATTATTTTCATAACAATTATGAAAATGTTTTTATAGAAAAAGAATGCATTGTTCCTGATATAGCACAAAACATAATTGCTCAGCCCCAGAAAGAGAAGTATTTCATTGGAGAAGTGTTGAAATTTTCCTGCAGACAAAGACTGAAACTTGTTGGACCAGATTCAATTCAGTGTTACAACTTTGGGTGGTCACCAGATCCTCCAACATGTAAAGGTGAATGTTTATCTGAAAATTGCTCCAACAAGAATTGGAATTTTGGTTATCACATTGTGTCTCTCTGTTAGTTTTCTGTTGGATTCCAGGGTGTCTCTAACCGAGGGCATTAAGCCAGAGATTTACTTGAGAAAACCATGCATTGGTAGTATGTGCCTCAGATGTCCTTGTTTAAGAAGGTCACCTTCAGTGGTGTCTGGTGCTAGAGCCACGTCTTTCCAGTCCTATTTTTGCATCTCATTCCATCAGCATGGGCTTCACTTCAAGTTCCACTGAGTGTGTCTAAACAATATTTAAGCATCTTGGGGTCAATTCAATCATACATATGACTTAAAAGTGGTTGATCACATGCTTGGCTCCAATGATGGTACTTTTTCAAAAAGTCTTGGCTCTGGCCAGGTAGCTCATCTAGTCAGAGCATCATTCCAATGTCCAATGTTGCAGGTTCAATCTCAGGTCAGGGCACATACAAGAAGCAGCCATTGAATACATCAATGAATGGAACAACTAATCTACATTTCTCTCTCTCTCACCCTTCCATCCTTCCTTTCCTCTCTTTAAGCTAAATAAATAAAAAACATTTAAGATAAAAGTCTTCATAAGATGTTTCTAAGGAAAATGAACATCATTATAAGTTACACTAGTATATTTTTTAATTAGTTTGCATATACTTTTAGACGAATATGGAACATGTTTCCTGGGCTTAAATATACATACAGTTTGCTGAATTGACATAAGTAACAGAACTGGGAGATGTGAATCTAGTGTAAACACCACACTTTTTTTTTCAATGACTGCTATAATAAATTAGATAATAATAATGACTATACTTTCAGAAATCATTTCTATAGTTTCTTAATAAATTAGATAATAAGTAAGAAATTTAAGAAAAAATTGTACTGGGTTTCAACTGGTAAATTACACTGTTTAACCAGTAATTATACTGCACTTCTACCATAGAGGAAGTAAAATCGTGTGGTCTACATCCTCAACTCCCCAATGGGAAAGCTACAAACACACCAAAAGAAGAATATCAACATGGTGATGTTGTGGAGTACATTTGTGACCCCAGGTTTCTGTTGAAGGGCTCTAAGAAAATTCAGTGTGTTGATGGAAAATGGACCACCTTGCCGCAGTGTATTGGTAATGTATAAAAATTTTAATACTTGGACTTGAGTCAACACTCTGTGTTTATATTCATAAAAATGCATTCTTTATATTTTATCATATTGTTTCTTTTGAGGAGCTTTATTTTTTATTTCTATTGCTGTTGAATTACAGTTGTCCCCATTTTCCCCCATTTCTTTCTCCTACCTACCAACCCTCCACATCCCACATTCAATCCCTCCCCAATGTGTTTGGCCATGGGTCCTATGTACATGTTCCTTCACTTAACTCTTCCCTTCTTTCCCGCAGCGTCCCTCTCCTCCCTCCCCTCTGGTTACTGGCAGTTTGTTCTTTATTAGCATATGCTTGTGACATTTTCACAGAGGAGAACAGCACCTGTGAAGACATACCTGACATTGTTCACGGCTCCATCTATTCCCGGGAGGGTCCCTATCACCATGGAGAGTCCTTGGAGTTCAGCTGCAGAGAAGGGTTCACATTGGTTGGGCCCAGATCAGTGACATGTTTCAAGGGAAAGTGGACCCAACCACCTGAGTGCATTGGTGAGCATGCCCTTCTAAAATGACCCTGTAAGACAATTTAATAGTTTTACTGTAAAGCCCTTGCCACCATATTTTTGAAATGTGGAGATGTTCTTGAAAGTGTCAGGTCATGAATTACAATGAATCCAAAGATTTGTTGTTTATAGTTCAATAGTGTCTACAGGAGAAAAATAGAAACTAGTGATAGAATTGTATGAATCTGTTCTGATGTTAACATAATTTATAAGTATGAAGCTAAATTTTACTTGTAGATAGATGTATGATTAAAATTTTCTCATTTGATGTTTATTTTGTACCTCCCTAGAGTCTTAACTTTTTGTTCTCCTCAAGATGCTTATTTTTTCCTAATAAGGAAATTATTTCAGAAACTAGTCACCATAAGACTTAGGATAAGAAACTCACACATCCTTTCAACTATAAATCCTCCTTCAGTTACCAACCTTGAATAGGAATATTGTTGTGGGGTTGGTTTTTTTTTTTCAGCAGTCTGGAAAAGTCATGGGAAAATAAGACTAATTCTCAAGAATCTACTGTGTTTTAAATTAGTCCCCTTTATTTTTTTCAAGTTTGCATTACAAAATCCTTAGTATTTTTAGGCAATTACTTGCATTTTCTTTCTTCTGTTCATCCTCATTTGATATCATTACCAAATTATTAACAAATATGACCTGAGACCTACACTGACATCAAGTTCAAAACAGGATTTGCCATATGCATGAAATTTTTGCAATACATACTTATATAAAAACTTGAATAATCTACAGATAACATTCTGAAGCCAGCAAAATGGATTGTTCTAGCATTATGATATTGCATTATATAATATTGGATTATAGGATGATCAAGTGTCTAAAACAGCTTCTCAAAGATTCTACAATATGTGTGCAAATAGGTTATGAATTAACCACCTAAGTTGTTATTCTGAATTCTGGTGATCATGCGCAAGATGTGCTTCAATATTCACATTCTATACTCGACACCTTAGATCAACTTTTCTTGTTATTTTACCTTAACTTTATTGAAACAATATAATTAAACTACCAATTTCATATATTCTATTTGCACAGATAATTGCTTTCTTCTAATGGTCTAAGATTGTGGTTAAAAATAACGCAGAAATGTTTGAGATCAAGAAAAGAATGAATGTGAACATTTGCACAGATTTCAGATGGGACCAAATTTTGTCATGTGATGACTCTTCTCTATGCAGATAAAGCAAAACTGAACCTCTATGTTCTTGCAATTCCCGAAGTGCAAAATGCCTGAATGATGGTTATTCTCCCTGAGATATCAGCACTTACTGCATATGGGACTGTGTTCCTACATAATAGCCCACCTCATGCACCATGATCGGGAATAATTTTGCTGGTGGAATTTATAGACCTAAATTCCAATTTCATTATACTCTGGCCTCTATAGCTATGTTTTGTATTAGTTGCTTAGATTCTCATGATTAGTGTTTTCAAGGTAATGTCTTTATTTTACAGAAACAGCTAACATTAAGATGTGTAAATTACTGAGGTCACATGAATACAAAATACTCCAGTCAGATAGAGTTGACTACAACCATGATGAGCAAGTGAATTACACATGCCCAAGGAGGTCAGAGCAGAAGCACTCAGTCTGCGTCAATGGAAGATGGGATCCCGAAGTGAACTGCACAGGTCAGCTCTTGATTACAACATTTTCAAATGTCATCCTATTTCTTCCTACCTTGTAAAAGGAGTCCTGTTGTGTCTTAAAACTTGTTATTAACTATTTCTTATTACAAGTAACTCCCAGCTGGAAGGTGATTTAGAACATAACCAGAGCACTGTTTCAAAATCTTAATTGTATCATGTGTGCTCTACAGCTACGTGACAAACCACTCAGGAACTGGTGACTTTCACATTGGGGAGTGGATCTGCTCATTGCTATTGGAATACCATTGCTGCCATTGCTACTATTTTTTTGTGTTATTATTGTGCTTATGCTTATACCTCTAACTCATGTAGCTATCTTAGCATCTAGGGATGTACATACCCTTCTGTGTATGTATCCATCTGTCTCTGTAGGTATCTACCCACTGAGCCATCTATTGTTTTGTTTATCTGTATCTGTCGTAGAAACAGTCTTATTTCCACCCCCAGTTCCAACAGCACAGGGCTCATTCCCATTCCCCACTTTCCACATCTGTGTTGCTCTTCTCCAACTGTAGGGCACGTGGACTCACTGCCCTCAGTTAACGCTCATAGGCAGTGATACAGTATTCTTTCTTTACTTTCACGTACTTGATTTACTGATTCGGTTTTAAGAATTTTCCCATGTATGTTCACAGAGGATATTAGATTACCATTGCTGTCTTGGAATGTCTCTCCCAGGTGTTGTTATCAAGACTATTGAGGCCACAGAAACCCAATAGAGAATTGTTCTTGGCTCCTCCGTTTTCAGAAAGTACATGTGTAATGTTATTGAAATCAGAGTTATTATATTATTTTTCTCTTTAAATGATTGATAGAATTCACCTGTGAAATCATCTGATATATAGTTTAATTTCTTTTTTTTTTCCAAAAATGTTTTACCGATTAACGTAATTTCCTTAACAGAGAGTGGGCTATTTGAACTTCATATATATTTCTCTTACCAATTTGGCAAGATAGGAAACAAAAAGCTGCAGGAAAGTTTTAAACTTTTAACAATAAATAAATCACTAGGTAACATACCTAATTTGTATCTCAGCCAAGACTCTGTATCAAATTCATTGATCTTTAACGAAAGGCAATTACTCGCTATGTGACACAGACTCTGGCCAATGGTGTCCATGGTATGGTGGATGTGATGAACAAAATCACATGGACTTCAGCAGTGATGTGCAGAGAAGAGACTGCATGGCCTCTCTCTGAGTAAGAGAATGCCCCAACCCTTGCCTGCACAGGCTTTTATTGCTCTCTGGGAACATAACATCAAGGAAGGTCCTCATTCATTATACACAGGTTTGCTTGAAGTGATTATTTCTTATAGATAACAAAAAATGGAATGTTGCAAATGCTAGGAAACAATAAAAGTGATGGATCTGATTACACTCCATGCTTGGAATGCCTTAGCACAGACTTTAGTGAGTTACTTCAAAGATATACATTAAACATCTGCTTTCTTAGCTCAAGTGAGAGAGTCTTAGGAACAGCAAGCCTCAAAGCAGCCTAGAAATAATGCAGGGCTGGTCCTCCATGGGAAAGCCGATCTGTGGGACTGGCTCCTGTGTGCCACCTCTCACCTCTAAGTTTTCCAAACCAGGGCTGAGCTACATTCACCATTGCCACATGTTCCCTATACCTATGGGTATAGGGAACAAATACCTATGGGTATTCAGCCTCTATTGGCACAACATCTTCTCAGGGTTTTCATCAGCTCCCAGTACATTTGTTGAGGGATATCCATAAAAAAGATTCTGATATCTATCTTGATTTTATTGACTGTTATTGAATGAATCATCCAGGTAGGATGTTCTACTGGTTACAAATCTTTAAAACAGGCTTTCCCCAAATTAGCCAAGCTTGATCACAGAAAGAATAAGAGAAAGACTCTACAAAGAAGGCCATGAGAATATAAACCCAGTGTGGTATGTTACAGTGGTAAGCAAGAAGGAAAGTATAACAAACTTAAACCTAGAACAAGTCATAATAATTTGATCTTTTCATATGCATAATTACTGCCAGTTTTATTTACTGAAATATTCTTTTAATATTTTTAACTTGTGGTTTTCCTAAGAAATCTAATTTTAATATTTTTAGAAGTACCAAGATGTCCACCTCCACCTCAGATTCCCAAATCTCAAAATATGATGACCACAGTGAATTATCAGGAAGGAGAAACAGTCTCTATTCTCTGTCAAAATAATTCTCTGATTCTGGAAGCTGGAGACCTCGTGTGCCAGGGTGGAATCTGGAAGTCAGTCCCGCGCTGCATTGGTCAGTAGTGCGTCACTTGCATCACACCTGTCTGTCAAATGAGGGTTAGACTGCCCTGTGCTTTGTGGACAGGGACAGATGAAGCCCTTTCTCCATATCCGTTCCACTTCACCTCAAAACGCTATAGCACAGTCTCTGTACTGAATCGATCAGCATTATTCCCCTTGTGTTGTGAAGTGAGCACAGAGAGAAGCTTTGAGTTATTGTGGAAACACCAGACACGGTTGCTCCAGTTGTGTATTTTGCTCCTCAGGATGAGCAGGGAGGGAATGAAGGGGCCCAAGGAATGAGTGGATAGTAGCGTTGATTTTATGGAGACATATATCTTTGCGCATTTCAAGTTTCATTTAGTTATTAAATAATTTTGTTAGTTCAAATTATTCTTATTTTAAAACCCCAAGTGTGTTTATTTTATTTTTCATTGTAAATATGATCTTTGTGCCTGATCCTTCAGCCTCTGTTCTGCATTGTAGAGAAAACACCGTGTTCTCAGCCACCTGATATAGAACATGGAACCGTAAATTCCTCCAGATCAGAAGAAGAAGGAGAGGAAACACTGGAGCCCAAGGTCTATCCACATGGCACTAAGTTACATTATGTTTGTGAAGATGGTTTCAAGATAACCGGGAAACCTAAGATAGCATGCCACCTGGGGACATGGGGTTCCCTGCCTCGTTGTGTAGGTGAGGACAGCCTGCAAACTAAAATTCTATTTTGGTGCAATTCATTAAAATAAGCAATCATCATCAAAGTCATGAGAGATAATTCTTTAGATTTATAAGTAAGCAAATCTATTTATATGTTTATGCACTATTATGTGTTAACGTATTTTACCAAACAATTTTTGTATAAACAAATACATCCTATTTTTGTTAATGTCATGGGTTTATTATGAAATTGCTTTAGTTTTTCTTTCTGTTTCATCATGACTGAGGTCCCCATTTCCACCTCTTTGTGCCCTTCCACCCAGCCTCTACCCCCTGACTTCTCTCTGGCCACCTCCACATTGTCTTCTGTGTCCATGGGCTATGCATACATGTCCTTTAGCAATTTCTTCACCTTTGGTCACTCAGCCCCCCTCTCCCCAATTCCCTCTGACAGTTGTCAGTCTGTCCCATGTGTCCCACACCTCTGTTCTATTTTGTTCACCAGTTTCTTCTGTTCACAATTCCACATATAAGTGAGATCATATGGTATGTCCTTCTCTGTCTGGCTTGCTTCACTCAGCATAATGTTCTCCAAGTCCATCCATGCTGTCGCAAAAGGTAAGATGTCCTTCTTTTTCACAGCCACATAGCAGCCACTGTGGAAAACAGTATGGAGCTCCCTCAAAAATTAAAAATGGAACTGCTTTCTCACCCAGCCATCCCACTCCTGGGAATATGCCCTAAGCATCCTGAAACACCAATTTGAAAGAACATGTGCACCCCCATGTTCATAGCAGCCAGGACCTGGAGACAGTCCAAGGGCCTATCAGTCCATGAGTGGAAAAAAATGTGGCACATGAAATCACTTCCAATTATGGCATTTTCCCTACCAAAACTTGATGTGTAGTGAAATTAAACTATTCACATACGTACAGCTATTCATATTATTCTAAATATTTGTATACGTTGCAGTGAAGGCTTTGCCACCAGGTTTTTAAAATTTTACGTTCTTCCTACACTGTCCTTTCTGACCTCTTACAATAGATGAGAATTTTCTTAACATGATTCTCAAAGTGTTTCCTTTTGTTACTTGTGACTTGTTAGAGAAGCAGGGATAGTCCCATTCCTAAATATATTGACCTTTTTCTTTTCCATCAATGCATACCACAATTATGGTTTTAGCAAGCCTTTATGCACCTTTTTCATAATATAATATATCATAATAATATATCATAATAATATGACATATTATTGGCATCATAATAATATATCATAATAATATGATATATTATTAGCACCTGTGTGATCATATAAAAGTACTATGACAACCAGTACATGAAATAAACTTCAGAGTTAGTGAAATACGCAGTCATTCTCAACTTTTCTCTTTCAGGACTTCCTTGTGGACCACCACCTTCAATTTCCAATGGGGCTGCACCCAACAGGAAACAGAAATATGAGTATGGAGAAGAATTTACATACAACTGTGCACAAGGATTTACGATTCATGGACCTGCATCTGTGATATGTTTAGGAGGAAAATGGAGTCCTCCCCCAGAATGCACAAGTACGGTGTATTTAATTTTATTCTCAGGCTGATCAATATCTGTAATTAGAGCATGAATAATATAAATTTAAACCTATAGTCACTCTAGAATTTACTAAGGTATCTCTGGAAAGTTCTGGATTCTGGTGGAGAATTAATAGCCCTAGTCACAGGAACAGGTTGGCAACAGGAGCCTCTGGCGGACACTGGCCAGCAGCGTCCACCTGTGGTGGCTGATGGCGAGAATGAATGCACAGGCGACAACAATCCTGTGTGGAAAAAGGGAACAGGCACGACTGCTCTCTCAAGGGGAAAGTGCCTATGGGTGCCTCAGCCACTCCCTCAAGAGGGGAGCACCCTGACCCTTGCCTAGACAGGCTTTTATTGTTTTCCTCAGGTCTTACATCATAGAAAGATTTATTGTCTATTACTTAAAATATTATTGTCTACATTTTAGGTACAATCAAGAAAATGAAATTAACATGCAGAGGGGAATGGTGATGAGCTGATTAGCTCTGTCCTTGGGAGAACTCATACAGGCTTTGGAAATTACCTTGAAGATAGACAATACACATTTGTTATTTTTAGACCAGGGTGATGGAGTTTTAGCAAGGGCAAGCCATAACAGTCTGTATGCATTTTCTAGGCCCGATTCCCATGGGAAAACTCGGTTTGAAGGTTTGGCTCCTGCCCACCACTTCACTTCTGTAGGTTTTCCATACAGAGCTGAGTCACATTTGCCAGGCCAAAACAAACCAATCCCCTACAATTCCCCCCTTTTTTTCTTTTTGTAAAGGCTGTTGTGGTGACACATCTCACAAGACTTGCTACTTGCTGGTCTCCTTTATGACCCTGAGCAAATAATTGCACCCGAACAGGGAAGCAAAGGCTATCAGCCACAGGAGCCCCATTGGGTTACTTGGAAGTCCCCCGTCCCCTGCCCATGTTCCATGTGCACACTCAGACATGTCCTCTCTGTGGAGGGCAGCTGGCCCCTGCTCACCAGTCTCATCATGACCCAGCTCATGTCACTTTACCAGTTACCTACCTATAGACATTTGTGTCATTTTCCAATGCTTCACGTAATTCTGGGAAATGGACTTGGACAGAAGAAAAGGCTAGGAATAGGGATATAATGTAGATGGCCTCTCTGTGCAAAAAGGAATCTGAATGTAAGTAATTTGGTCCTGATCTCTTCAGGCTTTCCAAACCATCAGTCTCATATAATACATTTTTTCAATTACTTTATTTATTTTTTAATTGTTTTTTAGACACAGTTGTCTCCATTTTCCTCCCACTGCTCCCCCCCCACCCCACCCATCCCTGCTCACCACCCTCAATCCTACCCTCTTTGGGCTTTGTGCATGTGTCCTTTATACATGTTCCTTGATGACTCCCCTCCTATTTTTTTCATTGTCTCTCTCCACCCTCCCCTCTGGTTACCATCAGATTGTTCTTAATTTCAATGTCCTTGGTTATATTTTGCTTGCTTGTTTATTTTGTTGATTAGGTACAACTTAAAGGTGAGATCATATGGTGTTTGTCCCTCACCACCTGGCTTATTTCACTTAGCATAATGTTCTCTCCATCCATCCATGCTTTCATCAAGGGTAGGAGCTCCTTCTTTCTTTCTCTTCATAGCCATATTACACTTCTGATGAATGTAGAGTCATTCAATGTAATGAAGTCAAGACCACTAACACATTTTCGAGTTATAAAAAATATTGTACAGTATGTATTCATTTGGTATGCACCTATTATTCTAGAGTAAAGTTATTGGCCAATGTCTATTTTTAAAGATTTGCTGAATGAGTATTTTGTGTTCTTCCTTTCAGAAACAACTTGTCCTTCCCCACCCAGCTTTAATCATGCCATGCCTAAAGATGTAAATGGGAAGAAGAAATCGTATCAGCCAGGAGATGAAGTAGCTTATAAATGTCAAGAACACTACCAAATGGATGGATCCAATGTTGTTCGCTGTGTGGCTGGCAGATGGATAGGGACACCCACATGCAGAGGTGTTTCATAAACTTTGACATTTTATTTTCTGAAGTGTCTTCAATACTATAATATAGCATTGCTTCTAGCATGATGAAGAGATGAACATAGGCTATGTCTTAGGCCAGATCAAGGGGGGTTCGTGCCTTCACACAGAGGAACCAAAGGGGTGGTGATGGTTGACCTGAGAGCCCTTTGTTCTCATTGGGTGGCTCCTGACACAACAGAATCAGCACCTACTGGGAAATTGGAGGAAATACAAATGTAAATTCACAGGTTTACTCAGAGTACTATCAAAAACTCGGGGTTGTGACCTGAAAATTTGTTTTTGTTGTTGTTATTGTTCAAGTACAGTTCTCTGCCTTCTTTTCCCACCCTCACCTTTCCCTGCCACTTCAGCCATCCCTCCCTCCCTCCCCTGATATCACCTCCAAGTTGGTTTTGTCCATGTGTCCTTTATAATTGTCCCTGAAAACCTTTCACCCTCTTCCCCCCAGTATTCCCCCTTGTACCCCTTCTGGTTACTTTCCGTTTATTCTTAATTTCTATGTCTCAGGTTATATTTTGCTTGCTTGTTTGTTTTGTTGACTAGATTCCAGTTAAAGGTGAGCTCATATGGTGTTTGTCTCTTACCACCTGGCTGATTTCACTTAGTCTAATGTTCCCCAGTTCCATTTATGCTCTCACAAAGGGTAGGAGCTCCTTCTTTCTCTCTGTTGTATAGTATTCCATTCTCTAAATGTACCATTGTTTTTTGATCCATTCATTTACCGACAGACACTTAGGTTTCTTTTAACACTTGGCTATTATAAATGGTGCTGCTATGATCATGGGGTGCCTAAGTCCTTTTGAATTGGTGTTTCAGGGTTCTTAGGATACCATCCTAACAGTGAAACTTCTTCAGTGAAAATTCCCAGCAGCTTTCACTGGGTCCTATTACTACTTACATCCAGCTGGACCTCATTGCTCATAGCATCAACCATAAGCATTTGTACTCTCCACCCTAAGAATACTAGAGTACTTTAAGTTATAAATTCATTTTTCTCATTCTCTGTTTGGATCTGTTGTGAGATCACCCTCTTCCTTTAACTATGTGGAATTCCTCAAAGTGTTTAATTCTTGACTTACTCATTAAGGAAATGACTAGTGTACTTATGAGTTCAAGAGCCTAAAACTACAACGAATAGACATGATGATTTCAACCCAAATTTGAGGCCAAATAATCTGCTATTCTGCATTTTTAGGGTTTATCAATTGATCTTAAATTGGTAAAACTTATGTTTCTTTTCTAAATTCAAATGGGAAATGTTCTGAAAGCCATCATTTACACTCAGCAGAAATGTCTTTTAATCTTTGAGAGGATGGGAAAGAAATTTAAGATGTAGAAGCTTAACTCTTAAACACACACACACAAAAAAACAGCAACAAACCTGCATCATCTCCTCTTTTTAATCATACATGTAAGTTTAGAAAATTTTTCAGTCTTCATGACAGATTAATATGGATTTATCCTCCAGAAATATAAGGTAATCTCATTTGTTGATTTGAGTTCTAAACATTCATTACATGATATATACTTTTTTCCTTTAATTCAGACAATTCCTGTGGGAGTCCTCCCATTGTTGAAAATGCCACTATACAAAACAAGAAGATTCGGTATCTGTCTCGTGAGACAGTACGTTACGAATGCATGAAATCTTTGGACCTATTTGGAGATGTAGAGGTGACCTGTTTGAATGGGAACTGGACAAACCCACCTCAGTGCAAAGGTAGAATATCTTATTCTCCCCCTCACCCGCACTTAGGAGGATATATTAGGGGTGAACTGTGTTGGTATGAATACATAATGAAGTAGTTCCTATGAAAGAAATAAATTCATGGAAATAAAATGGTGGTGCTCAAAGTCCACTTCTATTAATGGATTGAGTGAGTACTATGGCGTATTTCTTCTAGGACAGATTTGGCCACGTTAGAGAAAGAGATGTTCTGTGTTGTGGATTCCATAATGAGGTAGAGAGTGTGAGCTCTTCAATGGGGTCTTTCAGCCCAGCTGCCCTCCAGCTTGTTAGCCACTGTCTATGGTGGGAGGGTTAAAGCTGTCCGTAAGTCCTCTTTGCTTATCCATTTGTGTGGCTGCTTCTGTACACCCTAGGTTTAAGAGTCTTGGTCAGGCATCCTTCATTTGGTTATTCAGGTTGCTTACTCCCTTATTTAGCTGTAGTCCAGTTTGGTGCCCCTAGAGGTGAAGATAGCTCCCATCCACTCCAAAGCCACCTTAAATCAAAGACTATCCCTCTTGTAGAATCCAAAGGAAAATGCGGGCCTCCTCCAACCATCGACAATGGGGACATTACCACATTCTCATCAGCTGTCTATGCTCCAGGAGACTCAGTGGAGTACAAGTGCCAGCTCTACTATAAACTTCAGGGCAACAGGATAATAACATGTCGTGATGGAAAGTGGTCAGAAGCACCCAAATGTTTAGGTAAGTGTGTTGCCATTCCAATGCCTTCTAGGAAATCTGTGTAGAGAGTGTGACGTTCTACTCTTTATAACAGAACTTTCATGGATTAACAGTTATTCTGATGAAAGCTTGACTCCCTCATAGTGATGTGTGAGCAAATAACATATGAAAAAGTCTTAAGCAGGAAGAGCAACAAAAATTCTTTTATGAAAACTCTATATGTGACAACTGGTATTATGAACTTGGATTTAATATTTAATTATCACAAAGAGTACCTTCTTTTACATCATTAATTGTTTACTGACTTACATCCTGACTTACAGGATGGCTTTTCAATGAATTATATTGGAAAAGGTTTTGAGAATGAGTTCCTGGATCTGTGTAGAAGTTTTTGCATGACAGTCTAAACTTCTGTAGTGAGTATTTGCACAGCACTTAATGTTTTATGTTCCTTGTTTTTACCTTTAGAGGCATGTGTAATCTCAGAAGAAATGATGCAAAAGCATAACATACGTTTAAGATGGAGACCGGACAAAAAACTTTATTCGGAATCAGATGATACTCTTGAGTTCGAATGTCGATATAGGTATCGTGCAAGGTCACCACCTTCTGCATTCCGGGTAACATGTCGGGAAGGAAAACTGACGTATCCTACTTGTGTAAAATGATGTGTTATACAAATGATGTGTATAAAATGATGGTTATATTGCAGTCTGGACATTGAAATACACATATTCATTTAGAATATTTTGTAGTAATCCGATTCTCTATTTCTCCAAGTATATGTTATCTCATTTTTCTTCATAATCTGAATTTATGTTGATGTCATTGTAATCCGAAAGACCAAGGATCACTCTGAAAATGATCTCATTAAAATGTGGCAAACCACAATGCTGTGTGTTCTGTTCGTGAAACATCTGTGGTGAGGAATCCCAGCCATCTCTTCATGGCCCACTTGCACCCAACCACTCCCCTAACATTCCCATCACTTTGTCCAAAATTTCTGAGACCCTTTGCAAAAAGAATGGGAAAACATGCTTGTCTGCATCTTCAAAATATAATCACTTCACAAACATGTCAAAACTAAACTATGTCACACCTGTGTTGGCGAAAAGATGTCAGCGGTTATTACCTGTCCTAGCAAAATACACACCACAGATGGTGACAAGCATGATCTTCTGCACTGTCCCTACACTACATACAAGCACTCAGACATGTCACAGAGAGCAGGTGGAGTTCAATTCAGGGCATGACTTCGGGACAGTGGCACGCACCCTGATGAAAACACAGCATCAGTATGAACACATTCACATGTTCTCACAACATGCTGTGAACAGTAACAGAAAGTCACTGTTCACAGCAGAAAGTGCTGTGACACACTTACCACAGCTCTACTGTATGTAGATAATGGGGGGAGGAGTTGGGGTTCACTTCCCATAGTCCCCCATTCTCAGTATTGAACATATATCACCTTTGAACCAGGAAATATGTTAATTTAGGGTAAATACATACAAAAAGTAAGACGCACACATGTTGAGAACTGAAAAAAGCTGTGCATGAAGATGGGTGGATTGAATGTCATTTTACTGCTTTATAGAGTTTTGGAAACTTTTAAGTACCACAGCCTAAAATATGTTTTTTATGTTTGTGCATTTCAAACACATACTTAATTAAAATTACTTGACTGCAAACATTTTCAACTTCTACAAAAACATTAATACTTTAAGATGAATGCGAAGATATAGATCTTACAATTTGCAACAGCATGGATGCACCTGGACAGTATTGTGTAAAGTGAAATAAGCCATTCTGAGGAAGACAAGCTGCATAAGATTTCAAATATGTGCAGAATCTAATGAACAAACTAAACTAACAACCAAAACGGAGACAGACACACAGATACAGAAACAGACTGAGAGCTGTCAGAGGGGAGAACTGGGGGGACTCATTGAGAACTATGAAAGCATTAAGGAAAAAAATAAAATAAAATAATAACCTATAGAAACAGACAACAGTATGGTGATGACCAGGGGAAGGGGGGTGGGGGAGGTAGAAAGGGGTAAGTGGGGGATAAATGGTGATGGAAGGAGACCTGACTGGGATGGTGAACACAAAAACACAATTTGTAGATGGTGTATTATAGCATGAATTATATAGCTGAAAGCTATATAATTTTATTAAGCAATGTCGCCCAGGGAATTCAATAAAAATTTTAAATGAAAATAAAGCTATAAGTAATTAAGCTGCAAATACCTGAAGTGGTACCTTGTTGCTCTGTGTTAAAACCAAATACGGGACAGCGTACCAATGAGGAGACTGGCTGTCACCAAGGAGCCATGTTACAGAACCTGTGTCACCAGGATGGCCAGCTGTCATGTGAAGGGACATTGTCACGATGGACACGTCTGTTTGCTATTAACGCTGATGTTTGCACACATACTGTTTCTCCCAACCTTTTGCCCAATAGTAGTGGAACCTACACCTGGTTTTCATCATTTTTTCATTGGTGGCCGCAAAATAGTAATTTCACAGATCAGTTCTATCATTCTTCTGTGTTCATTCACTGTACCTTTGTACAAAGATAAGTGTCCCTTCACCAATGCTACATAAGTTAAACCTTCACCTAGAAAGATAGGGGTAACCATTATGTTTGTCCTTCAATCTCCAGTTTTTGGAGCAAGACTTGTATTTGTGTCCTTCTATGATGGTGTTCAAGATTTCTTTTCTTCTTTAGAAATGCTCAGTGTTTAATAATCCATTTGTCACGTTCATTTTTGCATTGGCGGCCTGGATGACCCCAGTCTTGGTGAGGGGCTGTCCCCAGAACTGCATTCTCGGAGCTTTGGCCGAATCCCCACTTTCGTCATTCCACCTTTCTATTCTTTTTAGCACAGCGTGTTGTTCCACACTCACCATGTACTTCTCCCAATTGCTCACGTGCACACACATGCTTGCAAGAAACTCAGATATTTTTTTATTGGGAAATAGCATTTAGAACCCAAGAACTGTGTGCTACTGGTGCCGCATGGGTGTGTCCAAGAGTGTGAGAATGTTTTCACTTTCAATTTCTTTAGCTCGTCAGATCATTGAAATGGAAATGAAATTACAATGCATTGCAAGGATTCACAGTACACACATAACAAGAGTAAGTACATTTTTACAGACATGATACACTCTTCTACAAAGAATTCATCTGGCTCTGAAACAGCACACGTAACAGAGTGTTGTCACAAGTCAATGAAGAAAATACTGTTACGAGAATGAACAACAAGCAGGTCCCAGTGCCAAGCACAGTACCTGACATCCAGAAGGCGCTCGGCAAATTTTTGCTCATCATTGCAATTAATAACACCTATGTGGACTTCCGCCAAGATGGAGGAGTAGGTGGAAACACTTTGCGTTCTCGCACAACCAAACCTAAAAACAATAAAGTTTTAACAGCAATAAACACAACTAAACCACACAGAAAATCCACAATACAGAGTCCGAAAACATCAAGCTGCTCAGCTAAACCAGTGAGTGGAGGGAAGCCAGCAGCGGAGCAGGTCAGGCAGGGAAGATCCTCTAACCTGAGCAGTGCACAGGCAGCCAAGGACTCGAATCCCAGGTGGGGGCTAGCTATGGGCGAACACAGGGAAGAGGCGTGGCTGGCTGTCTGTGGTCGGTTGAGCATTTGCACACAGATAAACCAGTGAAGAGGTGAGCATTTAGACGGCACGGCACAGGGCGAACGGCTCGACTTTTGTGCTCAGATAAACAGGCAGGGAGTGAGCAGTGAGGCGGACTGAGCAAGTGGAGAGGACCGACATTGCTCCCTCTCTGACCCCGCCCCCACATACAGCATCACAAGCCCAGCAACCTGGGTGGCCCCACCCTGTTGAACACCTGAGGCACGTCTCCTCATACCCAACAGGCACAAACAGATAAAAACATGGCTCAAGAAGAACTCAGAGCCCCAGAGCCAATAAATCAAAATGATGAAGAAATAGCCAAATGCACAGTTCAAAACACTGGTGATCAGGATGCTCACAGAACTGGTTGATTTTAGTCACAAATTAGAGGAACATATGAAGGCTAAACTCATTGAAACAAAAGGTAATGCACAGGAAACCAATGGTAATGGAAAGGAAACTGGGACTCAAATCAAGGGAGTAGACCAGAAGGAAGAAAAAAATGACCAAACAGAAAAATATGAAGAAACAAGAACTCAAAAAAATGAGGAGAGGCTTAGGAACCTCCAGGACATCTTTAAACGCTCCAACATCCAAATTATAGGGGTACCAGAAGGCGAAAAGGAACAGCCACAACTGGAAAACTTATTTGAACAAATAATAAAAGAGAACTTCCCCAATCTGGCAAAGGAAAGACTTCCAGGAAATTCAGGAAGCTCAGAGAGTCCCAAAAACGTTGGACCCAAGAAGGAACACACCAAGGCACATCATCATTACATTAGCCAAGATTAAAATGAAGGAGAGAATCCTAAAAGCAGAAAGAGATAAGGGGACAGTCACCTACAAAGGAGTTCCCATCAGACTGTCAGCAGATTTCTCAAAAGGGACCTTACAGGCAAGAAGGGGCTGGAAACAAGTATTCCAAGTCATGAAATCCAAAGACCTACATCCAAGATTGTTCTATCCAGCAAAGCTTTCATTTAGAATGGAAGGACAGATAAAGTGCTTCTCAGATCAGATCAAATTCAAGCAGTTCATCATCACCAAGCCCGTATTATATGAAGTGTTAAAGGGACTTATCTAAGAAAAAGAAGATTAAAAAGATGAACAGTGAAAGGACAGCAAACTCACAGTTATCAACAACCACACCTAAAACAAAAGCAAATTAAGAGGACAGCTAGATCAGGAGTGAACCATAGAAATGAAGATCACTTGGAGGGTTAGCAACAGGGGAGAAGCAGATGGAGAAGGGGGGAGAAGGTACAGAAAATAAGTAGCATAGACAGTAGATAGAGAATAGATAGGGGGGAGGGTAAGAATAGTATAGGAAATATAGAATTTAAGAACTTGAGACACGTGTTCATGAACTAAAGGGGGGAATGATGGTGGAGGGTGTGCAGGGTGGAGGGGAACAGAGGGGGGAAATAGAACAAATGTAATGACATAATCAATAAAATAAAAAATATACTAAAAAAAAGAACTTGAGACACGCGTTCATGAACTAAAGGGGTGTAATGGTGGGCAGGGTGGAGGGGAATGGAGGGGGGAAATAGAGCAAATGTAATGGCATAATCAATCAAATAAAACATATATTTAAAAACATTAAGTATATTATTAAATAAATAACACCTATGTGTGTAAAATATTAAACATTCAGCTTACGATGAGTTCACAGAATATCATAAGGTCATGGACTGCCACAGGACACTTGGCTGGCCTTGGGAGTGGAATGCAGTCTGTGCTTTCAACAAAATGAAATAAAAATAATATTCCAGAGCTACAGAGATGAATGAACAAATAGATAAATAAAGAAAGCATTAGTTCCATTTAGATTTTACAGTTCAACTAATAATACAGGATCTAGAAACTCTTCAATGCATTTTCTCTGTCTCATTACTTCTATATTCTTACATCTCAGTTTCAGAAAAAGGCTTCAACAGTGCAATGCAAACACTCCTGTTAGCAGTGTAACTACTGAGTGATGGTTAAAATGCTTTTGTATTTATTCTGTCCCAGGATGTAGAGGGAATACACCCTCTAGTATTTAAAATGACTGGGCAGAGATTCTAACCTCTGCTCTCCTTGCTTACCAAATTAGTAGTAACATTTTACACTTACTTGCATTGGTGATATTTTCCAATTTTAGATTTTTCTGCTTTGCCCTCTATGAGTGTAATCTTCTTTCAGTTTATTCACTTCTTTATTTCTTTCCTGCACACGCCCTTATAAATCTCACCATTGTATTAATGAAAACTCTACTTATTTGCTTTCTTTTTTAATATAATTGTATTTTAATTGTTTTTCAATTACAGTTGTCCCCATTTTCCCCATTACCCACCCCCTGCCCTACCCACACCCCCCACATTCAATCCTCACCCCACCCCGTGGTCTCTGTTCTTAGGTCCTTTACACATGTTCCTTGACAGGTTCCCTTGCTTCCCCTGTTACCCCCCTGCTCCCACCCCTCTGGTCTATGGGTTTGGTCTTCATTTCCATGCCTCTGGTTTTATTGTGCTATTGTTTGTTGAGTTGTTAAGGTTTTACCTAAAGATGAGATCATATAGGTAAGAAGCCACCTGGCTTATTTCACTTAGCATAATGCTCTCCAGTTCCATCCATGCTGTCTTGAAGGGTCTATTCATCTAATCTTTGACATACCTGCAAACACATTCATGCTGTAAAAGTCCAAGTGAGAGAGAAGAGTCTGTGCAAAGTCATCTGACTCCCATCAGACCTGTTCCCCATTTAATGTGTTTCCGTTTTATCCATTTCTGACATCTCTCCAGTGTTCTTTAGTGAAAAGGAAGGTTATTTGACACATTTATCTATGCCTTGCTGTTTTCACTTTACATGTGTCTGAGTCCATTCCCATATCTTACTGTCCTGGTAATAAATGATGTAATGGACATACTCAGGTGGGTACATTGTCCATTACTGCCCAAAGTGAAAGGTATGGATCCTCAAGCAATTTCACAGACATTTCTACTCTTTCTGAGGGATTTGTTGTCAATATGTAGATGTTTTCATCTTCAGTAGATAATACGTGGTACCCATGAGTAGTTTTAAAGTTCATTTATTATGAATGTGCTTATTAGCACAGAAGACATTTAAGGGCCACTTGTCCTGGGATTTTTCTCTTATTTCCTGATTCACATACCAGTCCCTATTTCTATCATTGTTTTTCTTTTGTTGAGAAATAATACAATCAATACTTTTTAGACTTCTGTCTAAAATTCAGACTTCTGTGATAAAATTAAAAGTATTTTCCACCTTGTTATTTGGCTTTGAGTTCATGTTAATAGTTCTAGGGAAAATGTTTGAATTGTATGCTCTCATACTTACTAATCACTTTTTATTAACTCGAATTCAAGGCTAAAATCAAACCAAATTTTCAAAAGCATGAAGTCATAAGAAAGGAAGCTGTTATCACCATGAGGCATGTCACTATGCAGGTGAATTATAAGAAAAATATTCACCAGATTATGGTTGTGTTTTCAAAACAGTGGATGAGGCAGAATGTATTTGGGACCAAGTGAGGTCCAACTGTATCTGGACTAGTGGGACTTTCTGGGGTCTTTCTTGGGGTCATGGACAAGGTGTGGAAGTTGGAAGGTTTACCAGATAATTTGCAATTTCTTCAAATGAACTTACCAGATTGGGAGGTACAGGGCTCTGTTTGCAGACCTGCTCTCTCATCACTGTGTGACCAAATAGTTTGGGGTTTTAAGGGAAAAGCAGTGAATTCCCTTCTGGGAGGACATGGAATGAGGACAGTATGTCACAAACAGTCCAACATGCTTTCTGGCATCTGTAACACTTCTCAGTGACATTTAGCTGGGGTGACGTGGACATGAAGGACTGTCCCACAAGAACCCACTACACCAGCACAGAGGGACTAGCAACCCCTCTAGAAATTCATGAATATCCAGTGAACACTAAGATCTCTAACATCAGCCCAAGGTGCACCCACTGTAGCTGCTCAGGAGACCGCCACCTGCATTGGCCAACATCTAAGAGGGAACCTGAGGCAGCTCTCAGTGCCACGCATCTCGATTCTGCTCTGCCCATCAGTTTTCACTCTGTCCACATTCCGTGAAACACCAGAATGAGGTGGATAACTGTCCCTCTTCTTGAAGCAGACCACCAGGGTTCCAATCTCTTCTCCACTATTTAATGACAAAACTAACGGTGCCTTTTCAGACCCACTTTCCGCAATCCCAGACTCAGTTGTGTCCAAGGCAGAACGATTATTACGGGTCACATGTCTTCATGTATCTCGGTGAAAACTTAAGCATCTCATGTCAGGAGAAAATATTCAAGATCTCCAAAAGCCACTGAAACTACACAGAATGTTACTCAAGATAATGAGACTAGATGAGCATTTTATCCCCAACATTAAAAGCTGCCAAGAAGTAGGAAAACTCCATCAATGATGTGAGAGAGGAACAGACTGCAGGCCAAACGCTGCACCTGGGGTGGGGTCACTCCCAGGTCTGTGTTGGAAATAAGACTCTGGGATGTGCGAGCATCAGAGTTCAGAATCTTCCTAACAGGCCTGTGGAAAGCACTTGAAAATGTCCATAAGCAAGCAAGACAGGAAATGGGGCAGTCCACTTGGAGGTGGGTGCGATCTTGACTATTTGGACAATCTGTGTGTGTCTGCTAGTCACTGTTTTAAATGTCATTGCTTACAGTTTCTATAAATAGGACCATAGTCTGGGGTAAAAAATACTACTGGTCTGGTATTAAGAGTGTTAGAGTATTACTAAGTCATGTCATGTAATGGGCACATTTTCTGAATTAATATGTGTAAACAATAGGCACTTGTACATTTATTCAAAAGTATTCAATAGGTAAATAATGCAATAAAACACAATTATATCCCTTTGAATATTTTTAATAAGATATACTTAAAGATGCATTTTCAATTAAATTTGAAGTACCCCATCAAATGTTTACCATAATTTACTTATTGAGATATTAAGAAGTGTTTCTTTTCATTTTTCTGGTTAATAAAAACAAAGTCTTGCATAAATGACTATTTGAGACAGGAGATAAAATGTTATTTTTCTGTGTGATATGATACAAAGAGATATTATTTTTCTATATTTCTTACACTGTCTCCAATAACTGGTGGGGGGGGGAACCATGAATGTAAGGAAATAAAACAAGGAAACTATGAGACACCACAATCTCTCTGCATGAACTAGTGTGAGAAGAGAACCCAGGGTCCTCTTTCTGCTGAGAAATGAGATGAAACAAAAGGGGGACACAGGAGCTGAGAGCTGAAAACAGCCCCTTCATCCCTGGAGACAGCACACCTCTCCTCTCCCAGCGCTGGACCACAAGGACTCTGGAAAACACAGCAAGTGCGTCCGAACAGTTCACTTTCTCCAGAGTCCACATCCAAGTTCACAAATCACACGACCCATGAGACATAATCTCTTTCACCTCAGCAAGATGTCCACACCAGCTCTGCCCTCCAAACCCTGTAACCCTTCTCATCCCCAGAGCCCTAAACCAGGAGGACAGTGATGCCAAACAGGAGATAGTTCATCTATGAAACAATTCTTCTGTGTTTTCATTGCTCATGGAAATGATTACTTCATCTGCTCCTTGTTTTTGTTGCCAGTGACACCATGAAATATTCCAGAAAGAAAGCACAGATGTCTGTACATGAAAGGCAGGTATGAACTATACTTTCCAGCACCTGAAGGAAAATGGTGCTACAGCTGTGCGGACAACCGTGTGACATTTTCACAAGGTGGCAGGATGGCATCACTTGCACGTGAGAAGGTAGGTCGCCAGAAGGACCAGGCCCCAGTAAGTGACCTGTGTAAAGCTCCCTGTGTGTGAACTTTTCAAAGATCAGAGACAAAGGTGCACACAACCGAGGGCAATGAAGTCTGGGTGACGATGATGAGCTCAAGGGGAACATTGTGGGAGTGAAAATGTCCCCAAATGTCTTTTCTTTCATGAGATGCTCTTCAAAAAAACCACAGGAAATGTGAAAGAGTCCTTACAAGAATAAAATATTAATTATACATTTTTTAGTAATAAACATTTACATAACATTGAATAGTAACATTTTAACAAATGTTTGCTAGTAGCTTTGTTTGTTGGTGCTCACAGACCCAAAGGAATGAGGCTGGGTGAGGACACATGCAGGACAAAGGACAGTTACAGGACTTGGACTCAGAGTTATTCCCTCAGAGTTATTTCTCTGGGTGGAGAAAAAACCTCCACCATTTCTAGAATTGTTTAATTAAAAAATTACTCTTTCATGTCAGGTTTCGATCAGGTGTGTTAATGTCACTAAGAGAGGTTGTGCAAGTGCAATGAGGAAAGGGAGTCACGAAGAGATTGGGAAACTTTTAACCAAAATTTGCATATCTTGCGAAACTCTCTGAACTTTGATAGCAAGTGAGCTCAGCAGACCAGCTTCCTGGCAGTGCCCTGAAATTCAAGGTCACACTAACCACCGCTCACAAGGCAGACTCACAACCCACAGAGCACGGCTGGAATATTCGTGTTAATACACTGTCGGGGATGCCCAGCATGCTGCTGTCCCTGATCAGTGTCATTGTCACCTTGTGGGTCTCCTGGGCTCGTGGACAAGGTAAGCTGGGCGGGCACAGAGCTGCACACTCAGCTCCCTCCGACCTGCAACTTCTTCTCCTTCCTACTTGCTTGTGTCTCTGGGTTTAATGAATGGACTGGGTTTAAGGGATAGTGTGTTCCATGACATCAAACAGAGAATAACTCATAGGAAGATCATGGTATATTCATCGAGAGAAAATAAAGTGAGTAGTTTTCTCTCTTCTGAGTTCCACAGTTGGAAAGCCTCTCCACAAATATTAGAGTCATGCAAATATGCTCATGAAAACTTGACTGGAAAATGGGTGACAGAAAAGCTAGTTGATACCCCAAAATGTTGGGGACAGTCTTACAACATTTGCTCTGTTCCCATGGACTTGACTCTTCTCCTGAGCAGTGGTTTCTGCATTATCCACCTGTCCTTTTCAGAAGTGACATGTGATCCTCCAACTATTGTCAACAGCCACTACATTCCTGACAGGACCTCATACCGACGTGGGGATAGAATCACATACCAGTGTAAAGGTGGCTTTTATCATTCCACCCAAGGCAGTACATCAGAATGCACTGATATGGGCTGGAACCCCCCTCCAAGGTGCTCCTGTAAGTTGCAAGCACATCGTGACCTGACCCTAATTCTGCAGTTACTTCTGCTGAACACCAATGTAATGGGAACTGAAAGGGCCCCCACACTTCCTTTACTGAGAGCGTAAAGCAGGGGATGCAGAGGCGTGCTGGGCTGTTCAAAGTAGCCACTTCAAATGAAGTTCAAAATGATGTATTTCTTAATGAAACCTTCTAATTTTTGGTACTCAGGGTTATATACGTGTGGGTATGAATATGTGTTTCTCTCACTAATATTCCAACATGTGAATTAAAAAATTGGCAAGCACGCTACCATTCACCATCCAGTATATTTGTTATTTACTGCTGTGTAACAAATGTACCCCAAATATTACTGACTGAGAAAAACCACCCTCTCATGACTCAGGGTCATAGGGTCAATCCTAGGGTTACTGCTCAGCCCCCAAGTTCCTAGTCACTCTCTGGGTGGCACTGGGACACTGGTCCAGAGTGTGGGCGGGCTGCAGACTGGCTGCAGTTGGGACCAGCTTCCAAGAGGGCACCTCCCTGCTGGTGCAGAAGCCTCAGGGCCTAACCACCTGGGCTCTCCATAGAAACCTGAGTGGCACTAACTGTCCCCAGGGTGAGTGATCTGAGACACAAGAAGAACACCTCTGTGCCATCTATGACCTGCTCACACATTGTCAGCTGAGCCATTTGTACCTTCACAAGAGGGTCTCTGAGTCCAGCCCACACTCAAAGGTGAGGGCAGTGGGCTCCTTCTCTGAGGAAGGAGAGTGGGAGACACAGTTGATTTTCTGACACCATCACATGTCACAAAGTGCCACTCAGTTCAGCAGGGTGTTTATTTCTGGGGAGGTTTCTTTGGCCCCTTTCCAAGAGCTTTCTGCCTTGACCATTGTGTTCTTCTTGCTCACATATCAGTTCCCTGTAGAGGTATCCATGCTGCAGCTGGACACTCCATGGCTGAAAAAATGAAACAATGCTAATTGGAGGTCAATGGCTTTAGTGTCAGTTCAGGACAAATGTCCACATGAAAGTGACAGTGTGATGCCCTAAGAGGGGCTGCTGGCCTCACCATGACACAGACCTCCATGAGTGTGACCACCACAAGGAGAGTGTCTGTGTACTCACTAGACAGAACTGACAGGCAGCACTGTGCTGTTTCAGGTGTGTAACAAGATGACCCCGTGTGTGCACGTATCGTGAAATGACCAGAAACAAGTGTTCTTTACATCATCTGAGTTTACAACCTTTCTTGTCCTAGAAACCCTAATGCAAAGAGGATAATTATGTTAATAATATAATTCACCAGGGAAACCTTTTATCTCTCATTGGATTCTATTAAAGGAAAACATCATTTATGTTGGGGTTTTTTGTTTGTTTTATTGCAAGTTAAACCATGTGACTACCCAGAAATAAAGCATGGGTATCTATACCGGGCAAACAGAGAATATTTTCCAGTCCCTGTGGGAAAATGGTATCATTATTACTGTAGTGGCAACTATGTGACGCCCACAGAACGCTACTGGGATTATATTACTTGCACAGCAGATGGATGGTCACCTGACGTTCCCTGCCTCAGTAAGTAAACCGCTTCCTCCTTGTGTATATGAGGCCACTTCACAGCAGGGGAGAGGAGGAGGGCATTAAACAAGTGAGAACAATGAAGCTGTGTGCCCAAACTAAGGTGGAGGGCTGAGTTCTGTGAGCAGGAAGACCAATGTCGGTTGTTTGTTTTATGAGAGGTTCTTCATCAAAGACATGAGAGATAAAAATAGAGTCTGCAAGAATGCCTGTATCATTTCTACATATTATAATAGTGAACTGCAGATAATAATTTTTAATATTATATTTTACAAAAAATATTTGGTAGCAGCTTAGGTATTTCTTATTCTATATGTTATTATTGTATGCTTATGCATTCTAATTTAAATATGAGGATACATTTTCATTTCTCACTTGACCAATTGTTGGGGGTTTTTTATTATCATTTTATCATTCTTAGGAAAATGTGTTTTCAATTATTTGGAGAATGGATATTTTCCGAGGTCTGAACAAAAGTATTTACAGGGTCAATCTACTAGAGTTTCCTGCCATCCTGGTTACAGTCTCCCAAACGAGCAGACCACGATGACATGTACAGAGAATGGCTGGTCCCCTCCTCCCAAATGCATCCGTGTCGGTAAGAAAACGGGTCTGAGATCCAGGCTGTTTGTCATCTTCTAAGACTTACCTGTAATCACCATGGAAAAAAGTTTATATCAGCTTCCTGTTTTGTCAATGGACTTACTTGCTTTTATTTTTTCAAGTGTGTATAAGCAGAAACGCCAGTTCCTTGACATATCAATAGCATGATAAAGATGCCTATTGGTAGACATTAATTTAGAAAACCACCAAATACTGCAGAGAGGAAACATCTAGTTTAATACATGGAAAGCAGGATGGCATGTCAACTGTTCCTATTGTCTTCCCACAGCCAACATTGACTTTGGCCATCACTCTGGATAAGGGCAGCTTTGTGAGAGTCAGGAATCTGGCAGACAGGTTCCTCCTGCCCCTGGGGCAAAGAGACCCAAGACTGGGTGCATGGAAGTGTCTGGGAGCAACAGCTGCACCTCCCTGAGTTAACTCCTCCCCAGTCATGCACCTTGTGGTGGGTTGGGGTCTGAGACCTCGAGTCTTAGTGGTTTTATGTTTTGTTTTGCTGTTCAGGTTGACCTGATCCATTCAAGGCTCGTTTCTAAACTAACAAAGCTGGTTTGGCAGCCTGCCCACTGGGACCAGTCTATTCAGAATATGGATGAAGAAGGCGTCTTCTGGCCCCTCTAATAAATGAGTTGTGTTTAAAGACATCTTTGCAATTTGTATGGTCCAGTGTGAATATCTCCCAGTCCTGAGGGTGTCCTGGGGATCTTGGAATTGGTTGTTTCCTGCTGGTTCTTTCTCAAGTGGTTATTCCCTGCTCGTTGTGAGGGGACTCTGCCCTGCTCTAAAGTGTCACATTTTCAGCCCTGCAGATGTGTAGAGCTCTCTCATTCTGTAGCTCTTTCCACTGGGTTCTCTAGATTCCAAGTTCAGTGATGTCAGCCTGTTTCAGAATGCTGGGTTTTGTCCTTCTATTCAGTGTGACTGATGATTTAGGCTTGAGAGTATTCTCCCTTGTAACTGGGAGAATTCACACCCCACCCCAATAAAGCCACTTTGAGAACAGAGCTCACAGCATTCCCCTTACCTTCCAGGAATCAGAGCCTGGTGCTGGCCTTGTGCACACACCTCACAAGGCTGTTTTCATAGGTTTGATTCAGTTTCTTCACTATGCGGGGATGGAACTCTCTTCTGAATTCTTACTGTGCATTTCTTAATTTTATTAAAGTTCTCCATGAACTACCTTGAACTCTATATGTTTTCTATAGTGTCTGTTTTTCATTTATGTCTGCTGACACTGTTATTTTTTCAGTGTTAATGGGAATGGAATATGTGGTAGCTTGTTATGTTGACACTTGCACAGGGGATGAAGTGACCACCAGGTCAAGTATACCCATGGGTTAGCATACCCATCCCCTCCTGTAGGGAGAGCCATGTGAGAGCCATGAACACCTGGCTCTTCCTTCTCAGCAATAATTAAAACTCATCCTGGGAATAGATGTATGCCAGGAACGCACTGGTCAGCTATAGCATTCCACATGCAGTAGACAGACAGATCCTAATAATTTATTCTTTATCTTCATTTTTATTGGTGACACTATTACAGATGTCCTCATCCCCCCTTTGCCCAATGCCACCCCACCTCTCCTCCTTCCTCTGGTCATCAGTAACTTCTTATAAAGCAATCTGAATATTTTAAGTCTTTCTTAGTTCCAAGATCTGTTTTTAATATCTTTTAAAAAATTATTATTGTTCTGTTACAGTTGCCTGGCCTTCTTCCCCTTGCTCAATCGAACCCCACCCCCTCACTCTGACAGTTGACTCAACCCCTGGTACCCCTCTGGTACCCCTATAGTTCGGATGTTGGAACGTTTAAAGATGTCCTGGAGGTTCCTAAGCCTCTCCTCATTTGTTCTGAATTCTTGTTTCTTTGTTCTTTTCTGTTTGGTGATTTTTTTCTTCCTTCTGGTCCACTTCCTTGATTTGAGTCCCAGTTTCGTTTCTATCATTATTGGTTTCCTGTGTATTTTCCTTCATTTCAATGAGTTTAGCCTTCATATGTTCCTCTAATTTGTGACTAAAATCAACCAGTTCTGTGAGCATCCTGATCACCAGTGTTTTGAACTGTGCATCTGAAAGTTTGGCTATCTCTTGGTCATTTAGAATTATTGGTTCTGGGGCTTTGAGCTGTTCTTCAGCCATAATGTTTTGGTGCAAACCTACCACAGGCTTTTGATTCACTCATATACTGATGGACACTAATGCTGTTTCTAGCACTTGGCTATTGCAAATAAGGCTGCTGTGAACATTGTGTTACATAGCTTCTTTTGAATTGGTGATTCAGAATTCTTAGGGTATGGTCCCAGCAGATGGATTGTTTGATGGAAAGTCAGTGCCATCTTTAGTTTCTTGAGGAAACTCCACACTGTTTCCCAGAGTGGCTGCATCAGTCTGCATTCCCATCAACAGTGCACTAGAGTTCCCTTTTCTCAACAACCTCACCAGCACTTGTTGTTTGTTGATTTGATAATGATGGCAATATCTTGATATATATTTTTGGAAACTCATAGCTTATAGTCTCTCACACCACACCTTGGATGATTAGGATTTTCCAGGTTTTCATTGACAACACACGCTTTAGTTTTTGTTGTTTTTGTTGTATATTGTTAGAATCCTAATGAGCATTCCTAGAGACCATATGCTTAACTTTCCCCCACATTCTCTTCCCTTTAGTGACATGTTCAAAATCGGATATAGAAATTGAGAATGGATTTTTTTCTGAATCTGAACTGACATACCCCTTACATATAGAAACACGATACAAGTGCAAACAAGGTTACTTAACAGAAGATGGTCAGACCTCAGGAAGGATTACGTGTCAGCAGGACGGATGGTCCCCTCCCCCCAAGTGCATCAGTAAGTCATTTATGATGTTGAGTTATTGCCCCATTGCCAGTGGCAGAAATGTTCACTTTACCTGATTTCTTTTTCTTGGGCTGTTAGAAGCTGGGGTGGTTCCATTTGAAAAGATAAATAAAAGGTTTTCGAGAAAGTATATGCAAGTTTTTGCCTTTTAAAAATGATTACTAGAATGTAGATATAAGATCATCTTTCAGTTCAAGGTTTTGCCTCCACAAAACTTCCTGTGATTTACAAACTGGTGAGGGACCTTCTGTGTATTCTGGTGTCAACTCATTTATTTCTAGCTGACACCCTGGCCTGGGCCTGTTTCCAGATGGTCAGATTTTTACGTCTGGGTGTTCATTCCTAGACATAAAAGTTATGTGTTTAAGTGAAAATATATGTTCACAGTGCATAGTTGTACGATAATGTCCCCTGTGTAATTTATACGTGATACAGCAGAACAAAAAATTCTTCTGAATAAAATTTATATTTTTAAGAAAACATCTACAACATTGAGTCATTGGAGAGTAAGAAATGCTTGTTGCTTCCTTGATGTTTATGAGAATATTCTAAGACCAGTTTTCTCATTTTATATAACTTATCCAAAGCCACATAACAATATTTTTCATTCCCATGAAGTGAATATTTAAAATATCCATGTTTATTTTTTTCACTTTTTCAGTTTCTATACTTACAATGGGAACTACCAAAAAAATGATGAAGGTTGCCTTTATATCAAACTAATACTATATTCAGTTGAGATTAATTATCCATTACTACACTCATTAGGGAAGAAAAAATGTCTCTTATTATTTTTATTGTTATAGTTTTCTCTAGTTTTTTAAATCTTTAAACTAGCTGGCTGCATAATAGGTCTTAAAATTTGAGGAAAACTATTGAAGTCTGTATTAACATCAGTCCAGGAATGTATTAGTGAAAATGTATTATCAATTTAATTTCTTATACTAGCTATAAATATGGAACTATTTCTACATTCAATCTTGATAAGTATAGAAGAATATCCATTAATTTGGTGGATATTTGTAAAAAGCTAAAGTAGCATGTGAGTTTTTAAAATAGTAAGTTTTCAAGTAGACTTCTATAGAATGTTTAAAAATCACTCTCACTGTTGAAAATTTCTCTTTTTGTTGAACCAATGAACCTGTTTCTGCCACTAATGACACAACTGCTACTGAGTTTGGCACCTACCTTGATTCACAAACATTATTCTACTTTGCCAAAATTCAAATCCAGCACATCTGTGAGGGCCTAGTTTACTGCTAGGGTGGAATGCATGTCTAAGTATAATGGCACTGAGAAAAACATTCTTAAATTTTTCAGAGGATTTAAGTGATGGTAAAACTGCTTTGTAGAAACACCCGCTTTCTTCTTGAGTAGCAATACAAGGACAATGAGTTATCACTGGTATTTGGAGATTGCTCTTTTGTGATGCATTGCCTTGGGATGGGACTTAACTCCATTCGAGTGTGTGTTAAATGCTACTGGACATGAAATCTTCAATTCCATTATGCATTAGAATCTTGTGAAATGCCAGTGTTTGAGAATGCCAGAGCCAGAAGTGGCAGCACGTGGTTTAAGGTCAATGACATGTTGGACTATGAGTGCCAGGATGGATATAAAAATGAAGATGGACACACCACAGGCTTCATAGTTTGTGGTCACAGTGGTTGGTCTGGTACACCCACCTGTCACAGTAAGTCACATTTCCGGATTATCATAATAACATTCATTTAAAATATTTTTTACCAATTTGGGTTATGTGGAATTATTTTTAATGTACAGTGAATAAAACTGAGGTGTCTTCCTTCTGATTTAATGCAAATTGGGAGGAAGGGCTGTTTTGAAGTCTAAAGAGAACAGCCGATCTGACCCAATGCATTGGCGTGCCCTATGGCCCATGCACATCACAGATCTGTGATGAGAGCATAATAGTGCTCTCAGTCTTTCCTGGAATCAGAGGCAGAGCTGGGTTGTATGAACCCAGAAGCTTTGATAGCTTTGAGGGCCTCCTTTAAGGAAGAGCAATCAATCAGGAATATGTGATTCCAAGGCCATCAGACATGGCAGAACAATGTATAGGAACAGATGTGGAAGTGACAGAGACAGCAGTAGAAAGCACTGTGGCCAATATGGCTCTCTATTGGAAATTTGCAGTAACTGATGACTTTGAGGACACGTTGGTCAGAATTCGCCAGCATGATGTCTTGCTTCCAGGGATGGAGGAAACGAATGGCAGCTTAGCATTCTTTTCAGATACCTTTCCTGGGCCATGAAGTAGGGAGTGGTGCACTGAGCAGTTGATACTAGAATTTATTTCAAATGTCCTGGAAAGTCTCTCTTTAGGGGAGTATTCAAGGAATCTTATCATAAACCTTTAAGCCAAACAATGCTAACAGCAGTTTTGACTCAATGTACACTTCAGAGTTTTAGATCCATACCAACATATGTGACCTTGAGAATGTTACTTCATCTTTTTTTGTTTCAGTTTTATCACATTTCAGTTTAATTTATTAATTAAATTATTTTAAATATTTTTGTAACTGAAACATATCAGAAATGCTTCTCTGAGTGTTCTGATTTCCCATGTTATGAAACAAAAATTCCAGGTTTTGTTTAAGCGTGCATATAAAATTGTAGCATCAGTGTTTTTGGTTTTGTTCTTTGTGAGAGAATAGTTTTGTTTTGATAATACAAAAACTAGTAGCATTAAATTTTATAAATGTCAATGATAAAATCAGATCCATATGAGCAAGCTGATCTTACAAATTTTCAGGACAAATGTATTGTTCAGAGAGTCCCATATAAATTTGAAGAAGGTGTAAACTGAATGGATAAGTGATTTTCCGGGAGAATATTTGTTTGATGCCTCTCTGTATATGCAACACCCAGCAACTTATTTTTGCATGATGTATAGCATATACTTTGGCAGTGAAAAATTTTATGTGCTCATTAAATTATTTTCATAACAATTATGAAAATGTTTTTATAGAAAAAGAATGCATTGTTCCTGATATAGAGCAAAACATAATTGCTCAGCCCCAGAAAGAGAAGTATTTCATTGGAGATGTGCTGAAATTCTCCTGCAGACAAAGACTGAAACTTGTTGGACCAGATTCAATTCAGTGTTACAACTTTGGGTGGTCACCAGATCCTCCAACATGTGAAGGTGAATGTTTATCTGAAAACTGCTCCAACAAGAATTGGAATTTTGGTTATCACATTGTGTCTCTCTGTTAGTTTCCTGTTGGATTCTAGGGTGTCTCTAACGGAGGGCATTAAGCCAGAGATTTACTTGAGAAAACCATGCATTGGTAGTATGTGCCTCAGATGTCCTTGTTTAAGAAGGTTACCTTCAGTGGTGTCTAGTGTTAGAGCCACGTCTTTCTAGTCCTATTTTTGCATCTCATTCTATCAGCATGGGCTTCACTTCAAGTTCCACTGAGTGTGTCTAAACAATATTTAAGCATCTTGGGGTCAATTCAATCATACATATGACTTAAAAGTGGTTGATCACATGCTTGGCTCCAATGACGGTACTTTTTCAAAAAGTCTTGGCTCTGGCCCGGTAGCTCATCTAGTTAGAGCATCATTCCAATGTCCAATGTTGCAGGTTCAATCTCAGGTCATGGCACATACAAGAAGCAGCCATTAAATGCATCAATGAATGGAACAACAAATTCACATTTCTCTCTCTCTTCCTCCTCTCTCTTCTACCCTTCCTCTACCTCTAAGCTCAATGAATCAAAAATATTTAAGATAAACGTCTTAATAAGATGTTTCTAAGGAAAATGAACATCAATATAAGTTATACTACTATATTTGTTAATTAGTTTGCATATATTTTTAGACTATCTAGAATACGGAACATGTTTCCTGGGCTTAAATATACTTCTAGTTTGCTAAATCGGCATAAATAACAGAACTGGGAGATGAATCTAGTGTAGACACCACTCTTTCCTTTTCAAAGACCGCTATAGTAAATTAGATCGGGGTGTCAAACTATTTTCACTGGGAGCCATATTTCCTCGTGGTTCCCTTCAAAGGGTTCAAAATTAATTTTAGGACTGTATAATGTATCTATTTAACTAGGGAATTTGTAGAGAGGTGCTGGGCCAGATAAAACAGGTGGGGGCTGAAGTGTTTGATGTCAGTTAGATAGTAAGTAAGAAATTTTTTTAATTGTTCTGGATTTTAACTTGTAAATTAGACTAATTTAATCAGTAATTATACTGCACTTCTACCATAGAGAAAGTAAAATCGTGCGGTCTACATCCTCAACTCCCCAATGGGAAAGCTACAAACACACCAAAAGAAGAATATCAACATGGTGATGTTGTGGAGTACGTTTGCGACCCCAGGTTTCTGTTGAAGGGCTCTAAGAAAATTCAGTGTGTTGATGGGGAATGGACCACCTTGCCCCGGTGTATTGGTAATGTATAAAAATTTTAATACTTAGACTTAAGTCGACACTCTGTGTTTATATTAATAAAAACACATAATTTATATTTTATCATGTTTTCTGTTTCTTTTGAGTTTTGCTTTTTATTTCTATTGCTGTTCAATTACAGTTGTCCCCATTTTCCCCCATTTCTTTCTCCTGCCCTACAAACCCTCCACATCCCACATTCAATTGTCCCCTCCCTGCTGTCTTTGGCCATGGGTCCTATGTACATGTTCCTTCACTTAACTCTTCCCTTCTTTCCCCCATCGTCCCCCTCCTCCCTCCCCTCTGGTTACTGGCAGTTTGTTCTTTATTAGCATATGCTTGTGACATTTTCACAGAGGAGAACAGCACCTGTGAAGACATACCTGAGATCGTTCACGGCTCCATCTATTCCCGGGAGGGTCCCTATCAACATGGAGAGTCCTTGGAGTTCAGCTGCAGAGAAGGGTTCACATTGGTTGGGCCCAGATCAGTGACATGTTTGAAGGGAAAGTGGACCCAACCACCTGAGTGCATTGGTGAGCATGCCCTTCTAAAATGACCCTGTAAGACAATTTAATAGTTTTGCTGTAAAGCCCTTGCCACCATATTTTTGAAATGTGGAGATATTCTTGAAAGTGTCAGGTCATGAATTACAATGAATCCAAAGATTTGTTGTTTATAGTTCAATAGTGTCTACAGGAGAAAAATAGAAACTAGTGATAGAATTGTATGAATCTGTTCTGATGTTAACATAATTTATAAGTATGAAGCTAAATTTTACTTGTAGATAGATGTATGATTAAAATTTTCTCATTCGATGTTTATTTTGGACCTCCCTACAGTCTTAACTTTTTGTTCTCCTCAAGATGCTCACTTTTTCCTAATAAAGAAATTATTTCAAAAACCAGTCACCATATGATAAGAACCACATACATCCTTCTGACTATAAATCTTCCTTCAGTTATTGTCCCTTGAAGAAGAATATTGTTTTTTTCTTTTTCAACACTCTGGACAAGTCCTGGGAAAATAATACTAATTCTCAAGAATCTACTGTGTTTTAAATTAGTCCCCTTGATTTTTTTCAAGCTTGCATTACAAAATTCTCATTATTTTTAGCCAATTACTTGCATTTTCTTTCTTCTGTTCATCCTCACTTGATATCGTTACCTAATTATTAACAAACACGATCTAAGACCTACACTGACATCAAGTTCAAAACAGGATTTGCCATATGCATGAAATTTTTGCAATACATACTTATATAAAAACTTGAATAATCTACAGATAACATTCTGAAGCCAGCAAAATGGATTGTTCTAGCATTATGATATTGCATTATATAATATTGGATTATAGGATGATCAAGTGTCTAAAACAGCTTCTCAAAGATTCTACAATATGTGTGCAAATAGGTTATGAATTAACCACCTAAGTTGTTATTCTGAATTCTGGTGATCATGCGCAAGATGTGCTTCAATATTCACATTCTATACTCTACACCTTAGATCAACTTTTCTTGTTATTTTACCTTAACTTTATTGAAACAATATAATTAAACTACCAATTTCATATATTCTATTTGCACAGATAATTGCTTTCTTCTAATGGTCTAAGATTGTGGTTAAAAATAACGCAGAAATGTTTGAGATCAAGAAAAGAATGAATGTGAACATTTGCACAGATTTCAGATGGGACCAAATTTTGTCATGTGATGACTCTTCTCTATGCAGATAAAGCAAAACTGAACCTCTATGTTCTTGCAATTCCCGAAGTGCAAAATGCCTGAATGATGGTTATTCTCCCTGAGATATCAGCACTTACTGCATATGGGACTGTGTTCCTACATAATAGCCCACCTCATGCAACATGATCGGGAATAATTTTGCTGGTGGAATTTATAGATCTAAATTCCAATTTCATTATACTCTGGCCTCTATAGCTATGTTTTGTATTAGTTGCTTAGATTCTCATGATTAGTGTTTTCAAGGTAATGTCTTTATTTTACAGAAACAGCTAACATTAAGATGTGTAAATTACTGAGGTCACATGAATATAAGACACCCCGATCATATAAGGTTTACTATGACCATGATGAGCAAGTGAATTACACGTGCCCAAGGAGGTCAGAGCAGAAGCACTCAGTCTGCGTCAATGGAAGATGGCATCCTGATGTGAACTGCGCAGGTCAGCTCTCAATGGCAACATTTTCAAATGTCATCCTATTTCTTCCTACCTTGTAAAAGGAGCCCTGTTGTGTCTTAAAATTTGTTATTAACTATTTCTTATTACAAATAACTCCCAGCTGGAAGGTGATTTAGAACATAACCAGAGCACTGTTTCAAAATCTTAATTGTATCATGTGCGTTCTACAGCTACGTGACAAACCACTCAGGAACTGGTGACTTTCACATTGGGGAGTGGGTCTGCTCATTGCTATTGGAATACCATTGCTGCCATTGCTACTAATTTTTTGTGTTACTATTGTGCTTATGCTAATACCTCTAACTCTTATAACTCTCTTAGTATCTAGAGATGTATATACCCTTCCGTGTATGTATCCATCTGTCTCTGTAGGTATCTACCCACTGAGCCATCTATTGTTTTGTTTATCTGTATCTGTCTTAGAAACAGTCTTATTTCCACCACCAGTTCCAACAGCACAGGGCTCATTCCCATTCCCCACTTTCCACATCTGTGGTGCTCTTCCCCAGCTGTAGGGCACCTGGACTCACTGCCCTCAGTGCTTTACCAATTTCCTCAGAAATAGAATACAGAGAAATCAATTTCATACCAATACTAAAGTCATACTTATTTTCAGATCTTCTCTTTCTATTCTTTATTTTTTTTTAGATTTTATTTTCTTATTTTTAGAGGGAGGGAAAGGAAGAGAGAAACAGGGGGAGAGAAACATCAGTATGTGGTTGCCTGTCCAATGTCCCCCACCGGGGACCTGGCCTGCAACCTGGCCTTGTGCCCTGACTTGTGCCACTGGAATCAAACCAGTGACTTTTGGTTTGCAGGCCAGCTCTGAATCCACTGAGCCACACCAGCCAGGGCATATTTTCAGATCTTAATGGAAAGAAGTAATAATTACAGTCTGTAAAATGCAAGTGTGCATCTGTTTTCTTCTAAGAAGCTTTATATAGTTTTAGCATTTATGTTTAGGAACATGTTATCCTATTTCTTCCTACCTTGTAAAAGGAGCCTTACTTCTCCATGTTGAATTAAGCTTAAGTGGGCTATAAAACAAGGGTGGATCTTTTTTGCAGACGGGCATTTAATTGTTCTAGTAATATGAGTGGGGAAGTCTTTGAAATAAAAATCAATTGTCTCCGGAAGTGACAGTTCATTGTTCAACGGTCTGTTTAGCTCATTTACCCAGTTTTCTATCCTTGGACCCATTATTTTGCCTTGATAAGTACTACTTTACACTAAGTCTTGGAGTCTGCTGTGTTTTCACCAATTATGCTCTTCATCTTCAAGATCGTTTTAATTATTCTGGTCTTTTCATTAACAGAAATTTGGGGAAAACTAGTCAGTTTCTGCAATGCATCTACAGGTAAAAGCAAACAGATGGCTTGTCTAGTGAAAGATAAATCAGGGAGAGCTGGCATCTTTGCCATGTTGAGTGTTCAATCCATAAACTTGATATATTTCATCAGTTATTTATTTTGGCTTCTATTTTCCCAGGAACGATTTGTGTAGAAGATGTAAAGATTTTGAAATGTATTTATATTTTACATTTTTGATATTTCAAGTGGTATTTTTCATATTTACATTTTCTAATTTTTGTTCTAAGTATAAAGAAATGTACTTTACTTTTGGAAATTGATTTTATACTCTGAAACTACACAGAATGATGTTATTCATTTTATGTATTCTTTTGTAGATCAAGCATATCATTCAAATACACAGATTTCTACCTGCCCTTTTTATTTTGCTATTTTGCTTGTCTTCTTTATTGTACTGGCTCAGACCTTCAATACAGCATTGAGTACAGCATTGAAAGGAAGTGAAGAGAACAGGCATCTTCTTCCTATTTTTGACCTTGGGGAGACAGTATTTAATTACTTACCACAACTACAATGTTAGTTTAGAATTTTCGTAGGTTCCTTTTATCAGTAGAATTTCCTTCTACTCCCACTTTGCTCAGTAAACAATTTTATCATCAAGTACTGTTGGATATTTTTAAGTGCTTTTTATGCTTTATTGATGGGATAATACGACAATCTTAATTTTTTAAATTACTTTATTGTTGTTCAGGTACAGTTGTCTGCATTTACCCCCCACAACCTCCCCAGACATCCCCACCCCCTTCCCCTACTTCCACCCTTCCTCTTGGTTTTGTCCATGTGTCCTTTATAGTTGTTCCTGAAAACCCTTTCTTTTTCTACTCCATTATCCCCTCCCACCTGCCCTCTGGTTACTGTCAGATCATTCTTAGTTACAATGTTTCTGGCTATATTTTTCTTGTTTGTTTGTTTTGTTGATTAGGTGAAATAATATGGTATTTGTCTTTCAGCACCTGGCTTATTTCACTTAGCATAATGCTCTCCAGTTCCATCCATGCTATTGCAAAGGGTAGGAGCTCCTTCTTTCTTTCTTCCTGCTGTATAGTATTCCATTGTATAAATGTACCATCATTTTTTGACCCGTTTATTCACTGACGGACACTTAGGTTGCTTCCAGCACTTGGCTATTGCAATTGGTGCTGCTATGAACATTGGGGTGCATAGGCTCATTTGGATTGGTGTCTCGAGATATTTAGGATATAATCCCAGCAGTGGAATCACAGGGTCAAAAAGCAGTTCCATTTTTAGTTTTTTGAGGACATTCCATTCCATACTGTTTTCTACAGTGGCTGCACCAATCTGCATTCCTACCAACAGTGCACTAGGGTTCCCTTTTGTCCACATCCTCACCAACACTTCTTATGTGTTGTTTTGTTTATGATGGCCATTCTCACCGGTGTGAAGTGGTATCTGATTGTGATTTTAATTTGCATCTCACTGATGGCTAGTGATACTGAGCATCTTTTCATATGTCTCTGGGCCCTGTGCATGTCCTTCTTGGAGAAGTGTCTGTTCAAGTCATTTCCTCATTTTTTTATTGGATAGTTTGTCTTTGTGGTGTGGAATCATGTGAGTTCTTTATATACTTTGGGGATTAAACGCTTGTCCTAAGTATCATTGGCAAATATGTTTTTCTATATAGTTGGTTCTCTTTTCATTTTAATGCTGTTTTCTTTAGCCATGCAGAAGCTTTTTAATTTGATGAGGTTCCATTTGTTTATTCTTTCTTTTATGTCCCTTGCTCTAGGGGACATAACAGTGAACATATTGCTGTGTGGAATATCTGAGATTATTCCACCTGTTTTCCTCTAGGCCCTTTATGATGTCATGACATATTAGGTTTTTATCCACTTTGACTTTATTTTCATGTATGGTGTAAGTTGGTGATCAAGTTTCATTTTTTTGCATGTGGCTGTCCAGATCTCCCAACACTATTGGTTGAAGAGGGTATTTTTGCTCCATTTTATGCTTCTTCCCCACTTTGTCAATTAATTGGCCATAAAGACTTTGGTTTATTTCTGGGATCTCTATGTTGTTCCATTGGTCTATGTGTCTGTTCTTGTGCCAGTAAGAGGCTGTTTTGATTACAGTGGCCTTGTAATACAGTTTGCTATCAGGTATTGTGATCCCTCCTATGTTGTTCTTCTTTCTCAAAATTGCTGCAGCTATTCGGAGTATTTATGGTTCTATATAAGTTTTTGAAATGTTTGTTCTGTATCTGTGAAATATGTCATTGGTACTTTAATAAGGATTGCAGTGAATCTATGTATTGCTTTGGGTAGTATGGACATTTTGATGATGTTAATTCTTCCAATCCATGAGCATGATACATGTGTCCATTTGTTTCTGTCTTCCTTATTTTCTTTCTTCAGTGTTGCGTGGTTTTATGAGTACAGGTCTTTTACATCATTGGTTGGGTTTATTCCTGGGTACTTTATTTTTCTTAGTAAAGTTGTGTATCAAAGGGGAAGTTTTCCCATTTGATGGTTGCTATATCAAATGGGATGTTTTCCCTGATTTCTGTTTCTGATATTTCATTGTTCGTGTACAAACATGCCTTTGATTTCTGAATATTGACTTTGTATCCCACTCTTTTACCAAATTCATTTATTAGGTCAAATAGTTTTCTGCTGGAGTCTATAAGATTTTCTCTGTACACTGTCATGCCACCTACAAAAAATGACACTTTCCCTTCCTCCTTTCCAATTTGAATTCACTTTATTTCTTGTTCTTGCCTGATTGCTGTGGCTAAAACTTTCAATACTATGTTGAATAGGAGTGGTGAAATGGACATCCTTGTCTTGTCCCTGATCTCAGTGGAAAAGCTTTTAGTTTTTGTCCATTGGGTATAATGTTGGCTGTAGGTCTCTCTTATATGGCCTTTATTATATTGAGAAATGCTCCCTCTATTCCCAACTTGCTGAGTGTTTTTATGATAAATGGGTGCTGTACCTTCTCAAATGCTTTTTCTGCACCTATTGATATGATCATGTGATTTTTGTCTTTCCTTTTGTTTATGTAATGTCTTATGTTTATTGATTTTCAAATATTGAACCATCCCTGCATACTTGGGATGAATCCCACTTCATCATGGTATATGATCTTTTTAATATATTTCTGGATGCGGTTTGCCAATATTTTGTTGAGGATTTTAGCATCTATGTTCATCATCAATATTGGCCTGAAGTGTTCTTTCTTTGTTGTCTCTTTATCTGGTTTTGAGATTACAGTGACACTGGCTTCATAAAATAAAATTTGTGAGTCTTCTATCTTCTTAGATTTTTTGGAATAGTCTGTGAAGGATAGGGATTAACTCTTCCTTAAATGCTTTGTAAAATTCTCCTATGAAACTATCCAGTACAGGGCTTTTCTGTGTCAGGATTTTTTTGATTATTGCTTCAATTTTGTCAGCTGTTATTGGTCTATTCAGGCTTTCTGCTTCTTCATTCAATTTTGGAAGATTATAATTTTCTAGAAATTTGTCCATTTCACCTAGGTTATCAAATATATTGGCATATAGTTATTCATAGTAATTTCTATTTTAATATATTTTATTGACTATGCCATTACAATTGTGCTATTTCCCCCCTTCATTCCCCTCCACCCTGCACACCCCCTCACTCACCATCCCCCCCTTTAGTTTATGACCACCTGTCTCAAGTACTTTAGATTCTATATTTCCCATACTATTCTTGCCCTCCCCCCTAACTATTTTCTACCTACCATCTATGCTACTTATTTTCTGTAACTTCTCCCCCCTTCTCCTTCTCCCACTCCCCTGTTGCTAACCCCTCCATATGATCTTCATTTCTATTGTTCTGTGCCTGGCCTAGCTGTCCTCTTAGTTTCCTTTTGTCTTAGGTATGGTTCTTAATAACTGTGAGTTTGCTGTCCTTTCACTGTTCATCTTTTTTATCTTCTTTTTCTTAGGTAAATTCCTTTAACATTTCATATAATACGGGCTTGGTGATGATGAACTCCTTGAATTTGGTCTTATCTGAGAAGCACTTTATCTGCCCTTCCATTCTAAATGAAAGCTTTGCTGGATAGAGCAATCTTGGATGTAGGTCTTTGGATTTCATGACTTGGAATACTTCTTTCCAGCCCCTTCTTGCCTGTAAGGTCCCTTTTGAGAAATCTGCTGACAGTCTGATGGGAACTCCTTTGTAGGTGACTGTCCCCTTATCTCTTGTTGCTTCTAGGATTCTCTCCTTCATTTTAATCTTGGCTAGTGTAATTATGATGTGCCTTGGTGTGTTCCTTCTTGGGTCCAACTTTTTTGGGACTCTCTGAGCTTCCTGGATTTCCTAGAAGTCTATCTCCTTTGCCAGATTGGGGAAGTTCTCCTTTATTATTTGTTCAAATAAGTTTTCCAGTTGTGGCTGTTCCTCTTCCCCTTCTGGTACCCCTATAATTCAGATGTTGGAGCATTTAAAGTTGACCTGGAGGTTCCTAAGCTTCTCCTCATTTTTTTGAATTCTTGTTTCTTCATCCTTTTCTGTTTGGTCATTTTTTCCTTCCTTCTGGTCTACTCCCTTATTCTGAGTCTCAGTTTCCTTTCCATTACTATTGATTTCCTGTGCATTACCATTCATTTCAATTAGTTTAGCCTTCATATGTTCCTCTAATTTGTGACTAAAATCAACCAGTTCTGTGAGCATCCTGATTACCAGTGTTTTGAACTGTGCATCTGAAAGTTTGGCTATTTCTTCATAGCTTAGATTTATCGGCTCTGGGGCTCTGAGTTGTTCTTGAGCCATGTTTTGATCTGTTGGTGCCTGTTACGTATGAGGAGCAGAGCCTTAGTTGATCACCAGGGCGTGGCCGCCCAGGTCTCTGGTTTGTGATGCTGTATGTGGGGGTGGGGACAAAGAGGGACAATGGAGGTTCCTTCTGCCGCTTCCTGCCACTGGGGGCAGCACAGTCCATCTCACTGCTTTCTCCTTCACTGGTTTATGGTTTATTGGTTTGGTTGAAGGGTTTGTTGTTGTCAGACATTTATATAGTTCAATTTTCTGTGGTTTGGCTGTGTTTTTGTTGCTAAAAACTTTTGTTGCTAAAAACTTGTTGCTAAAACTTTGTTGTTTTTAAACTTGGTTGTGCAAGAAGATAAAGTGTTTCCACCTACGCCTCCATCTTGGTGGAAGTCCCTCATAGTAATTTCTTACAATCCTTTGTATTTCTGTGGTGTCAGTTGTAATCTCTCTTCTTTCGTATCTGATTGTGTTTATTTGGGTCCTCTCTCTTTTATTTCTTCATGAGTCTGCTTAAAGTCTTGTCAATTTTGTTTATCTTTTTAAAGGACCAGCTCCTGGATTTACTGATCCTTAGAATTGTGCTGTTAGCCTTTATGTCATTTAATTCTGCTCTGATCTTCATCATTTCCTTCCTTCTACTTGCTCTAGGCTGTTTTTGTTGTTGTTCCTCAAGTTCTTGTAGGTGTACGGTTAGGTTTTTTACTTGAAATATTTCTATCTTTTCTAGATAGGCCCATATCGCTACAACCTTCTCTCTCAGGACTGCTTTTGCTGTGTCCCATAAATGTTGGATTGTTGTGAGTTCATTTTCATTTGTTTCCAGAAAGTTTTTTATTTCTTTCTTAATCTCATTTTTGACCCATTCATTGCTTAATATTGTGCTATTCAATCTCCATGAGTTTGAGTGTTTTTGAGTTTTTTCCTTGAGGTTTGTTTCCTGTTTCAGTCCCTCATGGTCAGAGAAAATTCTTGATATTATTTCCATGTTCTTGAATTTGTTGAGGTTTGTTTTGTGTCCTATCACATGGTATATCTTTGAAAATCTTCCATGTACATTTGAAAGAATGTGTATTTTGCTTCTTTTGGATGAAAACTCTATATATATCTGTTAAGGCCATTTGATCTAAGACATTGTTCAATACTCCAATATTGTTGTTGATATTTTTTTGGAAGATCTATCTATTTTTAACACTGGGGTGATAAAATCCCCTACATTAATTGTGTTGCTGTCAATATCTTTCTTGAAGTCCTCCCAGATTTTCCTTATGTATTTGGGTGTCCTTATATGGAGAACTTTTCTTCTCTTTATTGATGTTCAAGTACAGTTGTCTCCATTTTCCCACCACAAACAATACCATTGAACTGCATATAATAATTTCTCATCCCTGGAGTTCATTCTAGTTGACAGTGTCATGGTATTCTTTCTTTAGTTTTATGTACTTGATTTGTGATATATATTTAAGAATTTTTTGCATTTATGTCCATGGGTGTATGAAATTACAGTTACTTTTTCTAGGAATGTCTCTGCCAGTCATTATTACCAAGGTTATTGTGGTCTTAGACACCCAATAGAGAATTGTTCTTTGCTCCTCTGTTTCCAGAAAGTACATCTATAATATAATTGCACACAGAGTGATTATATATATTTTTAAATGATTGATAGAATTCACCTGTGAAATCATCTGATAATTAGTTTGGGTTCTTTTATCTTTAAAAGACTTTTCACTGATTAACATAATTTCCCTAAATGAGAATGGGCTATTTGGACTTCATATATAGTTCTCTTACCAATATGGCAAGCTAGGAAACAAAAAGCTGTAGGAAAGTTTTAAACTTTTAACAACGCGTAAATCACTAGGTAACATATCAAATTGCATCTCAGCCAAGAATCTGTATCAAATTCATTGATCTTTAACTAAAGGCAATTACTCACTATGTGACACAGACTGCAACCAGCAGTGCCCATGGTATTGTGGATGCGATGAACAAAATCACATGGACTGCAGCAGTGCTGTGCAGAAAAGGGACTGTGTGACCTCTCTCTGGGTGAGAGAATGCCCCAACCCTATGCCAGACAGACTTTTATTGCTCTCTGGGAACATTACATCAAGGAAGGTCCTCATTCATTATGCACAGGTTTGCTTGAAGTGATTATTTCTTAGAGATAACAAAGAAAAGAATGTTGCAAATGCTAGGAAATAATAAAGGTGATTACACTCCATGCTTGGAATGGCTTAGCACAGACTTTAGTGAGTTACTTCAAAGATATACATTAAACATCTGCTGTCTTAACTCAAGTGAGGGAGTCTTAGGAACAGCAAGCCTCAAAGCAGCCTAGAAATAATGCAGGGCTGGTCCTCCATGGGAAAGCCGATCTGTGGGACTGGCTCCTGTGTGCCGCCTCTCACCTCTAAGTTTTCCAAACCAGGGCTGAGCTACATTCACCATCGCCACATGTTCCCTATACCTATGGGTATTCAGCCTCTATTGGCACAACATCTTCTGAGGGTTTTCATCAGCTCCCAGTACATTTGTTGAGGGATATCCATAAAAAAGATTCTGATATCTATCTTGATTTTATTGACTGTTATTGAATGAATCATCCAGGTAGGATGTTCTACTGGTTACAAATCTTTAAAATAGGCTTTCCCCAAATTAGCCAAGCTTGATCACAGAAAGAATAAGAGAAAGACTCTACAAAGAAGGCCATGAGAATATAAACCCAGTGTGGTATGTTACAGTGGTAAGCAAGAAGGAAAGTAAAACAAAGTTAAACCTAGAACAAGTCATAATAATTTGATCTTTTCATATGCATAATTACTGCCAGTTTTATTTACTGAAATATTCTTTTAATATTTTTAACTTGTGGTTTTCCTAAGAAATCTAATTTTAATATTTTTAGAAGTACCAAGATGTCCGCCTCCACCTCAGATTCCCAAATCTCAAAATATGATGACCACAGTGAATTATCAGGAAGGAGAAACAGTCTCTATTCTCTGTCAAGACAATTCTCTGATTCTGGAAGCTGGAGACCTGGTGTGCCAGGGTGGAATCTGGAAGTCAGTTCCACGCTGCATTGGTCAGTAGTGCGTCACTTGCATCACACCTGTCTGTCAAATGAGGGTTAGACTGCCCTGTGCTTTGTGGACAGAGACAGATGAAGCCCTTTCTCCGTATTCGTTCCACTTCATCTCAAAACGCTATAGCACAGTCTCAGTACTGAAATCGATCAGCATTATTCCCCTTGTGTTGTGAAGTGAGCACAGAGAGAAGCTTTGGGTTATTGTGGGAACACCAAACACGATTGCTCCAGTTGTATATTTTGCTCCTCAGGATGAGCAGGGAGGGAATGAAGGGGCCCAAGGAATGAGTGGATAGTAGCGTTGATTTTATGGAGACATACATCTTTGCAAGTTTCAAATATTGTTTAGCTATTAAATAATTTCATTAGTTCAAATTATTCTTATTTTAAAACCCCAAATGTGTTTATTTAATTTTTCCTTGTAAATATGATCTTTGTGCCTGATCCTTCAGCCTCTGTTCTGCATTGTAGAGAAAACACCGTGTTCTCAGCCACCTGATATAGAACATGGAACCGTAAATTCCTCCAGATCAGAAGAAGAAGGAGAGGAAACACTGGAGCCCAAGGTCTATCCACATGGCACTAAGTTACATTATGTTTGTGAAGATGGTTTCAAGATAACCGGGAAACCTAAGATAGCATGCCACCTGGGGACATGGAGTCCCCTGCCTCGTTGTGTAGGTGAGGACAGCCTGCAAACTAAAATTCTATTTTGGTACAATTCATTAAAATAAGCAATCATTATCAAAGTCATGAGAGATAATTCTTTAGATTTATAGGTAAGCAAATCTATTTATATGTTTATGCACTATTATGTGTTAACGTATTTTACCAATTTTTGCATAAACAAATACATCCTATTTTTGTTAATGTCATGGGTTTATTATGAAATTGCTTTAGTTTTTCTTTCTTTCTTTCTGTTTCATTGTCAACGTCATGACCAAGGTCCCCATTTCCACCTCTTTGTGCCCTTCCACCCAGCCTCTACCCCCTGACTTCTCTCTGGCCACCTCCACATTGTCTTCTGTGTCCATGGGCTATGCATATATGTCCTTTAGCAATTTCTTCACCTTTGGTCACCCAGCCCCCCTCTCCCCAATTCCCTCTGACAGTTGTCAGTTTGTCCCATGTGTCCACACCTCTGTTCTATTTTGTTCACCAGTTTCTTCTGTTCACAATTCCACATATAAGTGAGATCATATGGTATGTCCTTCTCTGTCTGGCTTGCTTCACTCAGCATAATGTTCTCCAGGTCCATCCATGCTGTCGCAAAAGGTAAGATGTCCTTCTTTTTCACAGCCACATAGCAGCCACTGTGGAAATCAGTATGGAGCTACCTCAAAAATTAAAAATGGAACTGCTTTCTCACCCAGCCATCCCACTCCTGGGAATATGCCCTAAGCATCCTGAAACACCAATTTGAAAGAACATGTGCACCCCCATGTTCATAGCAGCCAGGACCTGGAGACAGTCCAAGGGCCTATCAGTCCATGAGTGGATAAAAAATGTGGTACATGAAATCACTTCCAATTATGGCATTTTCCCTACCAAAACTTGATGTGTAGTGAAATTAAACTATTCACATACGTACAGCTATTCATATTATTCTAAATATTTGTGTATGTTGAAGTGAAGGCTTTGCCACCAGGTTTTTAAAATTTTATGTTCTTCCTACACTGTCCTTTCTGACCTCTTACAATAGATGAGAATTTTCTTAATATGATTCTCAAAGTGTTTCCTTTTGTTACTTGTGACTTGTTAGAGAAGCAGGGATAGTCCCATTCCTAAATATATTGACCTTTTTCTTTTCCATCAATGCATACCACAATTATGGTTTTAGCAAGCCTTTATGTACCTTTTTCATAATATAATATATCATAGTAATATATCATAATAATATGATATATTATTATTAGCACCTGTGTGATCATATAAAAGTACTATGACAACCAGTACATGAAATAAACCTCAGAGTTAGTGAAATACGCAGTCATTCTCAACTTTTCTCTTTCAGGACTTCCTTGTGGACCACCACCTTCAATTTCCAATGGGGCTGCTCCCAACAGGAAACAGAAATATGAGTATGGAGAAGAACTTACATACAACTGTGCACAAGGATTTACGATTCATGGACCTGCATCTGTGATATGTTTAGGAGGAAAATGGAGTCCTCCCCCAGAATGCACAAGTACGGTGTATTTAATTTTATTCTCAGGCTGATCAATATCTGTAATTAGAGCAATAATATAAATTTAAACCTGTAGTCATTCTAGAATTTACTAAGGTATCTCTGGAAAGTTCTGGATTCTGGTGGAGAATTAATAGCCCTAGTCACAGGAACAGGTTGGCAACAGGAGCCTCTGGTGGACACTGGCCAGCAGAGTCCACCTGATGTGGCTTATGGCAAGAATGAATGCACAGGCGACAACAATCCTGTGTGGAAAAAGGGAACAGGTGCGACTACTCTCTCAAGGGGAAAGTGCCTGTGGTGCCTCAGCCACTCCCTCAAGAGGGGAGCGCCCCGACCCTTGCCTTGACAGGCTTTTATTGTTTTCCTCAGGTCTTACATCATAGAAAGATTTATTATCTATTACATAGAATATTATTGTCTACATTTTAGGTACAATCAAGAAGATGAAAATAACATGCACAGGGGAATGGTGATGAGCTGATTAGCTCTGTCCTTGGGAGAACTCATTCAGGCTTTGGAAATTACCTTGAAGATACACAATACACATTTGTTATTTTTAGACCAGGGTGGTGGAGTTTTAGCAAGATCAAGCCATAACAGTCTGTATGCATTTTTTAGGCCCGATTCCCGTGGGAAAACTCGTTTGAAGGTCTGGCTCCTGCCCACCACTTCGCTTCTGTAGGTTTTCCATACAGAGCTGAGTCACATTTGCCAGGCCAAAACAAACCAATCCTCTACAATTCCCCCCTTTTTTTCTTTTTGTTAAGGTTGTTGTGGTGACACATCTCACAAGACTTGCTACTTTCTGGTCTCCTTTGCGACCCTGAGCAAATAATTGCACCCGAACTGGGAAGCAAAGGCTATCAGCCACAGGAGCCCCACTGGGTTACTTCGAAGTCCCCCGTCCCCTGCCCGTGTTCCATGTGCACGCTCAGACATGTCCTCTCTGTGGAGGGCAGCTGGCCCCTGCTCACCAGTCTCATCATGACCCAGCTCATGTCACTTTACAGTTACCTACCTATAGACATTTGTGTCATTTTCCAATGCTTCACGTAATTCTGGGAAATGGACTTGGACAGAAGAAAAGGCTAGGAATAGGGATATAATGTAGATGGCCTCTCTGTGCAAAAAGGAATCTGAATGTAAGTAATTTGGTCCTGATCTCTTCAGGCTTTCCAAACCATCAGTCCCATATAATACTTTTTTTTCAACTACTTTATTTATTTTTAATTGTTTTTTAGACACAATTGTCTCCATTTTCCTCCCAGTGCTCCCCCCAACCCCACACACACCTGCCCACCACCTTCAATCCTGCCCCCTTTGGGCTTTGTCCATGTGTCCTTTATACATGTTCCTTGATGACTCCCCTCCTATTTTTTCATTGTCTCTCTCCACCCTCCCCTCTGGTTATCATCAGATTGTTCTTCAATTTCAATGTCCTTGGTTATATTTTGCTTGTTTGTTTGTTTTGTTGATTAGGTACAACTTAAAGGTGAGATCATATGGTGTTTGTCCCTCACCACCTGGCTTATTTCACTTAGCATAATGTTCTCTCCATCCATCCATGCTTTCATCAAGGGTAGGAGCTCCTTCTTTCTTTCTCTTCATAGCCATATTATACTTCTGATGAATGTGGAGTCATTCAATGTAATGAAGTCAAGACCACTAACACATTTTCGAGTTATAAAAAATATTGTACAGTATGTATTCATTTGGTATGTACCTATTATTCTAGAGTAAAGTTATTGGCCAATGTCCATTTTTAAAGATTTGCTGAATGAGTATTTTGTGTTCTTCCTTTCAGAAACAACTTGTCCTTCCCCACCCAGCTTTAATCATGCCATGCCTAAAGATGTAAATGTGAACAAGAAATCGTATCAGCCAGGAGATGAAGTAGCTTATAAATGTCAAGAACACTACCAAATGGATGGATCCAATGTTGTTCGCTGTGTGGCTGGCAGATGGATAGGGACACCCACATGCAGAGGTGTTCCATAAACTTTGACATTTTATTTTCTGAAGTGTCTTCAATACTATAATATAGCATTGCTTCTAGCATGATGAAGAGATGAACATAGGCTATGTCTTAGGCCAGATCAAGGGGGGTTCGTGCCTTCACACAGAGGAACCAAAGGGGTGGTGATGGTTGACCTGAGAGCCCTTTGTTCTCATTGGGTGGCTCCTGACACAACAGAATCAGCACCTACTGGGAAATTGGAGGAAATACAAGTGTAAATTCACAGGTTTACTCAGAGTACTATCAAAAACTCGGGGTTGTGACCTGAAAATTTGTTTTTGTTGTTGTTATTGTTCAAGTACAGTTCTCTGCCTTCTTTTCCCACCCTCACCTTTCCCTGCCACTTCAGCCATCCCTCCCTCCCTCCCCTGATATCACCTCCCAGTTGGTTTTGTCCATGTGTCCTTTATAATTGTCCCTGAAAACCTTTCACCCTCTTCCCCCCAGTATTCCCCCTTGTACCCCTTCTGGTTACTTTCCATTTATTCTTAATTTCTATGTCTCAGGTTATATTTTGCTTGCTTGTTTGTTTTGTTGACTAGATTCCAGTTAAAGGTGAGATCATATGGTGTTTGTCTCTTACCACCTGGCTTATTTCACTTAGTCTAATGCTCCCCAGTTCCATTTATGCTCTCACAAAGGGTAGGAGCTCCTTCTTTCTCTCTGTTGTATAGTATTCCATTCTCTAAATGTACCATTGTTTTTCGATCCATTCATTTACCGACGGACACTTAGGTTTCTTTTAACACTTGGCTATTATAAATGGTGCTGCTATGATCATTGGGGTGCCTAAGTTCTTTTGAATTGGTGTTTCAGGGTTCTTAGGATACCATCCTAACAGTGAAACTTCTTCAGTGAAAATTCCCAGCAGCTTTCACTGGGTCCTATTACTACTTACATCCAGCTGGACCTCATTGCTCATGGCATCAACCATAAGCATTTGTACTCTCCACCCTAAGAATACTAGAGTACTTTAAGTTATAAATTCATTTTTCTCATTCTCTGTTTGGATCTGTTGTGAGATCACCCTCTTCCTTTAACTATGTGGAATTCCTCAAAGTGTTTAATTCTTGATTTATTCATTAAGGAAATGACTAGTGTACTTATGAGTTCAAGAGCCTAAAACTACAACAAATAGACATGATGATTTCAACCCAAATTTGATGCCAAATAATCTGCTATTCTGCATTTTTAGGGTTTATCAATTGATCTTAAATTGGTAAAACTTATGTTTCTTTTCTAAATTCAAATGGGAAATGTTCTGAAAGCCATCATTTACACTCACTAGAAATGTCTTTTAATCTTTGAGAGAATGGGAAAGAAATTTAAGATGTAGAAGCTTAACTAATAAACACACACACAAAAAAAACCCAGCAACAAACCTGCATCATCTCCTCTTTTCAATCATACATGTAAGTTTAGAAAATTTTTCAGTCTTCATGATAGATTAATATGGATTTAAGTCCTCTAGAAATATAAGGGAATCCTATTTGTTGATTTGAGTTCTAAACATTCATTACATGATACTTACATTTTTTTCTTTTAATTCAGATAATACCTGTGGCAGTCCTCCCATAGTCGAATATGCCACTATACAAAACAAGAAGACTCACTATCTGTCTGGTGACACAGTACGTTACGAATGCATGAAATCTTTGGACCTATTTGGAGATGTAGAGGTGACCTGTTTGAATGGGAACTGGACAAACCCACCTCAGTGCAAAGGTAGAATATCTTATTCTCCCCCTCACCCGCACTTAGGAGGATATATTAGGGGTGAACTGTGCTGGTATGAATACATAATGAAGTAGTTCCTATGAAAGAAATAAATTCATGGAAATAAAATGGTGGTGCTCAAAGTCCACTTCTATTAATGGATTGAGTGAGTACTATGGCGTATTTCTTCTAGGACAGATTTGGCCACGTTAGAGGAAGAGATATTCTGTGTTGTGGATTCCACAATGAGGTTGAGAGTGTGAGCTCTTCAATGGGGTCTTTCAGCCCAGCTGCCCTCCAGCTTGTTAGCCACTGTCTATGGTGGGGGTGTTAAAGCTGTCCGTAAGTCCTCTTTGCTTACCCATTTGTGTGGCTGCTTCTGTACACCCTAGGTTTAAGAGTCTTGGTCAGGCATCCTTCATTTGGTTATTCAGGTTGCTTACTCCCTTATTTAGCTATAGTCCAGTTTGGTGCCCCTAGGGGTGAGGATAGCTCCCACCCACTCCAAAGCCACCTTAAATCAAAGACTATCCTCTTGTAGAATCCAAAGGAAAATGCGGGCCTCCTCCAACCATCGACAATGGGGACATTACCACATTCTCATCAGCTGTCTATGCTCCAGGAGACTCAGTGGAGTACAAATGCCAGCTCTACTATAAACTTCGGGGCAACAGGATAATAACATGTGGTGATGGAAAGTGGTCAGAACCACCCAAATGTTTAGGTAAGTGTGTTGCCATTCCAATGCGTTCCAGGAAATCTGTGTAGAGAGTGTGACGTTCTGCTCTTTATAACAGAACTTTCATGGATTAACAGTTATTCTGATGAAAGCTTGACCCCCTCATTGTGATGTGTGAGCAAATAACATATGAAAAAGTCTTAAGCAGGAACAGCAACAAAAATTCTTTTATGAAAACTCTATATGTGACAACTGGTATTATGAACTTGTATTTAATATTTAATTATCACAAAGAGTACCTTCTTTTACATCATTAATTGTTTACATTGACTTACAGGATGGCTTTTCAATGAATTATATTGGAAAAGGTTTGGAGAATGAGTTCCTGGATCTGTGTAGAAGATTTTGCATGACAGTCTAAACTTCTGTAGTGAGTATTTGCGCAGCACTTAATGTTTTATGTTCCTTGTTTTTACCTTTAGAGGCATGTGCAATCTCAGAAGAAATGATGGAAAAGCATAACATACAGTTAAAATGGAGACGGGACAAAAAACTTTATTCGGAATCAGATGATTCTCTTGAGTTCGAATGTCGATATAGGTATCGTGCAAGGTCACCACCTTCTGCATTCCGGGTAACATGTCGGGAAGGAAAACTGACGTATCCTACTTGTGTATAAAATGATGGTTATATTGCAGTCTGGACATTGAAATACACATATTCATTTAGCATATTTTGTAGTAATCCAATTCTCTATTTCTCCAAGTATATGTTATCTCATTTTTCTTCATAATCTGAATTTATGTTGATGTCATTGTAATCTGAAAGACCAAGGATCACTCTGAAAATGATCTCATTAAAATGTGGCAAACCACAATGCTGTGTGTTCTCGTTCGTGAAACATCCGTGGTGAGGAATCCCAGCCATCTCTTCATGGCCCACTTGCACCCAACCACTCCCCTAACATTCCCATCACTTTGTCCGAAACTTCTGAGGCCCTTTGAGACTCTTGGTGCAAAAAGAATGGGAAAACATGCTTGTCTCCATCTTCAAAATATAATCACTTCACAAACATGTCAAAACTAAACTATGTCACACATGTGTTGGCGAAAAGATGTCAGATGTATTTTGTCCTAGCAAAATACACACCACCGATTGTGACAAGTGTGATCTTCTGCACTATCCCTGCAGTGCATACAAGCACTCAGACATGTCACAGAGAGCAGGTGGAGTCCAATTCAGGGCATGACTTCGGGACAGTAGTACGCACTCTGATGAAAACACAGCATCAATATAAACACATTCACACGTTCTTACAACATGCTGTGACAGTTACTAGAGCACAGACTGGTAGGAAGTGCAATGACACACTTACCACAGCTCTATTGGATGTAGAGATAATGGGGGTAGGAGTTGGGGTTCACTTCCCATAGTCCCCCATTCTCAGTATTGAACATATATCACCTTTGAACCAGGAAATATGTTGATTTAGGGTAAATACACACAAAAAGTAAGAAGACACATGTTGAGAACTAGAAAATGCTGTGCATGAAAATGGATGGATTGAATATCATTTTCATGATTCTACTGCTTTATAGAGTTTTGGAAACGTTTAAGTACCAGAGCCGAAAATACTTTTTTTATGTTTCACCATGAATGTAAGGAAATATAACAATGAAACCATGAGACACCACAATCTCTCTGCATGAACTGGTGTGAGAAGAGAACCCAGGGTCCTCTTTCTGCTGAGAAAGGAGATGAAACAAAAGGGGGACACAGGGACTGAGAGGTGAAAACAGCCCCTTCATCCCTGGAGACAGTACACCTCTCCTCACCCAGCGTTGGACCACAGGGACTCCAGAAAACAGAGCAGGTGTCTCTGAACAGTTCCCTTCCTCCTGCATTCACATCCAAGTTCATACATCATATGACCCACAAGACATAATCACCTCCACCTCAGCAAGATGTCCACACCAGCTCTGCCCTCCAAACCCCGTAACCCTTCTCATCCCCAGAGCCCTAAACCAGGAGGACAGTGATGCCAAACAGGAGATAGTTCATCGATGAAACAATTCTTCTGTGTTTTCATTGCTCATGGAAATGATTACTTCATCTGCTCCTTGTTTTTTGTTGCCAGTGACACCATGAAATATTCCAGAAAGAAAGCACAGATGTCTGTACACGAAAGGCAGGTATGAACTATACCTTCCAGCACCTGAAGGAAATGGTGCTACAGCTGTGCGGACAACCGTGTGACATTTTCACAAGGTGGCAGGATGTCATCACTTGCACATGAGAAGGTAGGTCGCCAGAAGGACCAGACCCCAATAAGTGACCTGTGTCCCACTTGAAGGGGCTCTCAGGGACTTGCCTAGGACCTCAGGAGTGGCCCCAGGTCCACCCCTGGGCACCCTCCTCCTTCCAAGAAAGTGGGGACCGGGGATGTGTACCTTCCCTGGAGTAGGGGGGGAAGGGGTGGCACTGGGGGCACTTTCCCCAGCTCCTCACCCACCAGTTTGCAAACCTGCTGGTGTCCCTTCCCTGGCTTAGCCTTCCAAAGAAGATGCCACACAGCCATGGGTTGGGACAACCAGTGGCAGGGCTGTTGCTGTGCAAACTTTCCTGCATCAGATATTATGTCCTTTGGCCTTTGCTTATTTATTCATCTCATACACCATTTCACCCGGGCAGTCAGAATACCAAGACACCTATTACAGCTGCTTGTTCTTCTGCACCCAGGTCCCGGCAGAAAGGAGCCCATTATTGCTACCCACGCTGCAGACTTAGAGAAAGGTTTAGTTGTTAAGCAGTTAAATAAAACGAAGAAAGAAATCTTCAAAGTGCTTAGCACAGGGCTTAGCATGCAGGAGGAAGTTGAGAAGTTAGTTTTCTTCTTCCTATGTTCCTTTTTTTCTAGGTTAGTTTTCCCCTCTCCTCTCTTCCCAGAGAAAATGCAACTGCAAACCAACAGGGTCCATTAGGGGGTTCCCAGGCAAATCATTCAATGACCATGAGCATGAACACTTACCTCTAAATCACACTTATTTGTCAGAAACCTTCAGTTATAAATGACAAGAACCCAACCGAAACTGGCTTCAAAAGGTACTACAGCCCCCTTCACTGAACAGTCCAGTGGGGTTCAGGCACCGCTGGATCTAGGTCCCAAGTGCTAGTGTTGGGAACGTTTCTCTATCTCTCTGTTCTACCTTCTTCAGCATCGGCTTCACTCTGGGTTAGGCTTTGAATGTGGTGGCAAAAATTTTTCTTTCAGCACCTCCACATTGACAGATTTGATAGAAAAATGGAAAAAAAAAAACACAACATTCTCTTTCTCCAAAAATCCAGAAAAAGCCTCAGGACTGACTCTTACTGGCCCAGAACAAGTGATATGTCTATTCCTGAGTGACAGCTAGGCCCTGTGCAGTCCTGAGTGGCATGTCACCTGGAGGCAGGGATGGAGCCCAGCCACCATGGTGTATTCATGTCCTAGGACCGTCATAGCAATGTGCCCCAAACTGGGTGGCTCAAACAACAGAAACTGATCATCTCACAGTCCTGGAGGGCAGAAGTCCAAAGTCAAGGTGTCAGCAGAACTGGTTCCTTCTGGAGGCTCCGAGGGGGCATCTGTTCCCTGGCTCTCTCCTGGCTTCTGGTGTTCTTCCCCACTTGTAACTGTCCCCCTCCCTTCTCTGCCTCCGTTCCTTCTATTGGCTCCTCTGTGTCTTCAGGTGGCCTTCTTAGAATGACACCCATCGTTAGATTTAGGGCCCACCCTCACCCAGTACGGCCTTATCTTAACTCATTACATCTGCAAAGACCCATTTCCACATAAAGTCACGTTCAGAGTTTCTAAGTAAACATGAGTTTTGGGTGGGGCCACTGTTCAATCCAGTTCAGGTGGTAAGCCAAAAGAAAAATGGGGTACAGGTACCAGAAAAAAATAAGATACAGATGCTTGGCAGGCAAACTTCAAAATACCACATCAGTGACCAACCATCAGATTGTCAAAACAGGGGAGATCTTAAACAAATGTGTCTTCCCAGGGCCTTGAAATGACTGTGCCTAGTTGTTACACATGGGAAATCCCATAGGGAACCCAGTTCTACAGCACCTAGAAATCTCATTTTGATGGGAATGGTTCTTCGAAGCTGAGCTAAATTTACAACAAGTCAGGAAACTGCCATTCTCTTTCAGGCAAGCTCACAGCAGCTCCCACCCCCACCCGCTCCACTGTTCTGACTTCACATGTGTCTGAGACGGTGAGAGCCCTGCCCTGCAGGGAATTCGACCAGCCCACAGAGCCCGGCTGTGTCTAAACATGTAAAGATGCTTTGGGAAGACAAAGTCAGCTATTTCTAAATCCCCAGCCTCGGAGGCTGCCCTCTCAGTTGGTCAAACTGGCCCATCTTCTCAGAATCACCATCACCAATACTCAAACCAGTTATAGATGTTCCTTCTTTTCCTCCCTGCAGAAAAAAAAAGGATAACTTCCAATTTCTTGGGGGGAAAAGTTATAGGACAGTTTAAGTCAAACTCTTGGCAGTGGTAATCTCTGGACAGTAAGACAGAGGAGGGTTACAGAGCAGAAGTTATTACCGAAAACAATTATAAAGATATTTCTAAATTAAAAACATCCAGTGGTTCTGTGAAGGCTACCATATCATGTCAGTGAGCTAACCACCTTTGATTCAGGATGTCTAGTAACTAAGAACATTGCTCCCTCAACAGTAAGGAAAGAGAAAAGTTTAAATGAAAAGAAAGCAGTGGATGCAGAAAAGTACATGTCAAAAATAAAAATCCAAGCCAAGTGACATTTCACATTCCTATTTCCTCCAAAAGCGAAGGTTTCCTATTTGGTGCAGCGATACCTCCTGGGGATGTGAGACCCTGAGTAAGAGTCAAGATTCCCAGGTCCGACTCACAGCATTGCCACTCCCCAGACATGTGACTCCAGGCGAGTCACTTTACCCAGCTGAGCCTCAATCTCCTTATTTTCTAAAAATATCTCTACTATTCAACTTTATTTGTATAGTTGTCCTAACACTCAAATGGTTCCACCTATAGGCAAGGGCTCTGAAAACACCACAAACATTATAGGGGATTATTATGAAAATTCTGTTATTTAAGCATGTGCCGCATCCTACCAGGCCCCAATAAAGCACATAACCAACAAAAGGTAATCCTTTTCCTCAAAATGATGGCCCTTTTTGCTTCTTTATTTTGCCCTCAGGTATACTGCAATCATCACACTTAGCCCATGAAATATGATCACACTGGCCCATGCCAGCTTCCACTCACTCACTATTTGTTCCATTTGCTCCCCTCCCCACTCCCATTTGCCTCCTCCCTGCCTATAGGCAAGTATTTCATTCTGGTTAATGCGTAGTCTTTTGTACACATTCCTTAAGAGCTGTGTATATTTGCCCATTGTTTCATGATTCATTTTGCTTCTTAGAGTTCTCTTTAAATTCTTCGGATCCAGCTGTGTTTTTGTATACCTGGTCTGCATTTCTTCTCATTTTGGCATTGCACTTCATGTACGACCATGGCACTTTACCAGCCTAGTCTTCCAGCTTAAAGGAGGACCCCCTTCCTCTCAAAAGAACACTGCAGGGAACATCTCGGAACATCTCTGCTCAGACCCTGGGCATAGGCTCAGCTCCAAGGCATGTGCACACTCAGTTCGCTGCTCTCTAGTTTAACGTCCTTGCATCCCCAACACACACAGCATTATCCTGCTTCCCAAGAGATACAAATCTGTAGACATAGAGGGAAATGTCATTGGCTCATTTTCATCTAAATGATTACGAATGCTATTAAGCACCTCTTCGTGTGTTTATTACTTCAGGTGTGAGGGAAGGTTCTTTTTCTAAAAAT